GATTTTTTTTTAGAGAGAGAGAGAGAGATAGAAACATCAATGAGAGAGAACATCAATTGGCCACCTCCTGCATGACCTCGTGGTGCATGGGTCAACGCTCAACCACTGAGCCACACTGGCAGGGCTTCTCCTCACTGCCCCGCCCGCTCTTTACCTATACAAACTGTATGGTGTACAGTGCCCATAAATCCAACGTGAGCTTGGTAAATAGGGGAATGATGTGTCACACTGTTGACATATCATTGGGTCCTATCTCATATTACCAAAGTGCCAACAGTGTGTTCCCCAGGAAAGAGCAGCAGGGCAAGCCACACAGCTCAGTAGCAGTCACAGACTACAGTCCTTCACCCAGTCCTTTGGCTTAGCTTGACTTAGCCACATGCAAAACAGACAAACCCAAAACTGTGAGCCAGAGCCCTCTTCAGGGCAAGGGAGAGGGAAAGCCAGCAGCTGGGAAAGGGTGGAGACACTACTACCATCTTAAGGACCCAGAGGGTGTTGTGGGTTGAGACAACCACATCTGCACCCAAATTCTGCCAGCGGGTGTAAAGGCTGTTGGAGAAAATGGAGGGGTAGAAGGAAGCAGAACACTAGATCCTACAGCATTTTCTTGACCTGATTAAGGTGCCTGACCTTAGTGTTGGGGTCACTAAGGAGATATGTAGAGATTTTTAAGGAAAAAGTGACATGTTCAGATTTGCTTAGGGAAAGTCATTCTCCTAGTCTAGTGGAGCAATCTTTTGTTTGGTCTTATCGATAGCCCCAATTAAAAGTCTAAGAACAAACTGGTGATGAAGGATTTTTGCCACAAATATAATACAGAACTGATATCTTTAATTTGTTTTTTGTTTGTTTGTTTGTTTTTTATCCTCACCCGAGGACATTTTTCCATTTTTTGTTCAGGTAGAGTGGGAGGGAGAGAGAGGAACAGAGAGAGAGAGAGAGAGAGAGAGAGAGAGAGAGAAACATTGACATGAAAGGAACACATCGAGTGGCTGCCACCCGCACGACCGACCAGGGCCGGGGACAAACTGCAACCGAGGTACGTGCCCTTAACGGGAACCGAACCTGGGTCTCTCTGGACCGCAGGCCGATGCTCTAACCGCTGAGCCAAACCGGCCAGGGCTGACATCTTTAATTTGTAAAAAACTCATACAAGTGGATAAGAAACAGTGCCAGAATGCATCTAGGAAACAAATAACCAATTCGACTGCAGAGCTCACTTGCAGAATATATTTAGTGGATACTATGAAAAGTGAGCAGCCTCACTGTCATGTGAATGCATGGTATGGTGATCACTCGATTCATCTCAGCCATGCAGGCAGGGATTCGGTGAGAAGGACATTCCCATTGATAGTGAGGTAAATTCAGCGTTTCAGGAAGAAACTTTGGCCACATGCTCGTACCCTTTAACTTGATGAATCTGTGTCTGGGAATTTACTGGGAAGTGTACCGGGAAGTTACCAAAGATGTGGACAAAGACTATGTGTAAAGTGCACTATTTATAATAGGCAAACACACACACACACACACACACACACACACCAAGATGTCCCACAATCTTGGGAACTATAAGAACCTACAATATGATATCACATAGCTGTTAACCATGTTTTGAATTATGTTAAAGCCTTATCATTCTGGTTTTTGATGTGCATGAGCATAAAATAAAGAATGGGAGGAAATATGCTAAAATGTGAGTATAGGTTATCATGTTAGTGACGTTATGGGTGATTGCTACTTCTAAACAATATTTTCCATATTTAAAATGTTTGCCATAGGGGACTTCCGGTCAGGATGGTGGCGGTATTGCGTCCTCCCACAACCACATCAAAGTTACAACTGAACTACAGAACAACCATCATTCAAAACCGCCTGAAATCGAGCTGAATGGAAGTCCTACAACTACGGAATTAAAGCAGTAGCCACATCCAGACTGGTAGGAGGGGCGGAGGGGATGGGCTGGGCCCACACCCACTGTAGGGATAAAAATCAGGAGGACACCTCGGCTGGGAAGGTCCTCCATGAGGACTGAGGGGTCCCCGTCCCACACCAGGTGCCCCGCTCAGGGTTCCAGTGCCAGGAAGAGAATCCCCATCATTTCTGGCTGGAAAACCAGCAGGAACTGAGGCTCAGGGAGGCTGAGGCGGCTGGAGCCCCAGGCAGCTCCTTAAAGGGCCCGCGCACGGACTTATCGGACTCTCTCCCTCTAAGCTCGGAGGGGAGGCAGCTCGAGGGGCGCCAGAGACACACAGGGAAGAACTGAGCTGTTTGGCACTGGAGCGAGGGCTGGAGAGGGGGCTTTCTCCGGGACAAATGTGCTGTCAAAGGCCTTTGTTCCTTTGGTGAGTCCTTTCCTGGGGCGGCAGAGAGCTGCCACATCTGGGACTCCAGCAACCTGGCTCACACTGGTAGCCCCGCCCTGGTGATTCCCTGAGGCCCCTCCCCACCCAACTTTCAGGCCCACCCAAGCTGTTGCCAGTTGCTTAACCATAGGATTGGCCTGTCTTGGATCCTGAATTTTCCTAAATTATTTCAAACAAGCAGCATCTGGTCTCAGCTAGCCCCATACTTCTCCTTAAGTAATACATAGAAACAAACAGGGAGGCAGCCAAAATGAGGAGACAAAGAAGCAGGTCCCAAATGAAAGAACAGAACAAAACCGCAGGAAAAGAACTGAGCAAAATAGAGATAAGCAACCTAACAGATGCTGAGTTCAAAATACTGCTTATAAGGATGCTCAGTGAACTTAGTGAGAACCTCAATGAACTTAGTGAGGGCCTCAAGAGCATAAAAAAGGACCAGTCAGAAATGAAGGATGCACAGTCAGAAATGAAGGAGGCACTAACTGAAATAAAGAATAATTTACACAAATTCAATAGTAGAGTAGGTAAAGCCAAGAAGCAAACCATCGATTTGGAATATAAGGAAGCAAAAAACACCCAATCAGAACAGCAAAAAGAAAAAAAGAAAAAAAAAAAATGATGATAGTGTAAGGAGCCTCTGGGACAACTTCAAGCATGCCAACATTTGCATCTTGGGGGTGCCAGAAGGAGAAGAGAGAGAACAAGAAATAAAAAACCTATTTGAAACAATAATGGCAGAAAACTTCCCTAACTTGGTGAAGAAAACAGACATACAAGTCCAGGAAGCACAGAGAGTCCCAAACAAGATGAACCCAAGAGTCCCACACCAAGACACATCATCATCAAAATACAAAAGGTTCAAGAAAAGGAGAGAATCTTAAAAGCAACAAGAGAAAAGCATTTAGTTACCTACAAGAGAGTTCCCATAAGACTGTCAGCTGATTTCTCATAAGAAACTTTGCAGGCCAGAAGGTAGTGGCAAGAAATATTCAGAGTGTTGAAAAGCAAGAACCTACAACCAAGATTACTCTATCCTGCAAAGCTGTCATTTATAATCGATGGCCATATAAAGAGTTTTCCAGATAAGAAAAAGTTAAAGGAGTTCATCACCACCAAACCATTATTATATGAAATATTGAAGGGTCTTTCTGAAGAAAAATATAAAATATATGAACAAACAAAATGGCAATGAATACATATCTATCAACAATGGAATCTACAAACAAAATGAACAGGCAGAACAGAAACATTCTCATAGAAACAGAGAACATTTTGTTGGTTGCCAGATGGGAGGGGGGTTGGGGGAATGGGTGAAAAAGGTGAGGGGATTAAGAAGAACAAATTCATTGCTAGACTGACAAACCTCAAAGGGAAGGGGGTTGGGGGTGGGAAGAAATAAACCAAAGAACTTATATGCATAACCAATGGACACAGACAATAGTGTGGGAAAAGGCGGGAGGGGGGCGGGAGTGGGGAGGAGGGGGTCAATGGAAGAAAAATGAGGAACATCTGTAATACATTCAACAATAAAGATAAAAATTAAGTAAATAAATAATATTTGCCATAACAATAAGAGGTTTAGCCTCAAATGAGGATTGCAAGTCTCATTAATTGTTCCCAGGGAAGTGACACTGGAGGCCTGAAAACAGAATCACACACATGTATCTCACAGCCTCCCTTTAATTCTCAACCCACATAAATAATTAAAAAACACAATTTACCCTCCCTCCCTCTTCTAAGTCCCTACTGCATGCTTTACATGCTTAACCTCATGTAACCCTCCCAACACTTCTCTGAATAAGGTTATTAAAAGTAGTCCTATTTTAGAGATAAAAGAACTGAGGCCTCGTATCTCATCTGAGGGTTTTCGTGACCCCTTTCCTTTTTCACTCTATCCCATTATTTAGCCAAACCCATCAGCATAGAACAGTTTTCTGAGCAGCAGACCACAAATCCACAGGCCCTCCACCTTGCTGGAGAACTTCTTTTCCAGAGTAAATACTTCAGGACAGGGGCAGGTGTTCCTGAGAGCACTTCCCCCTTCCTTCTCCTGCTGGCTTTAACTTTGCCTCTGGGGCCACCACCAGCCTTCTCATTTGGTAGCAGTGGCTGGTCGGTGCCTTTTCCTCCAACAGCCAGGTCAGTGCCTGTGATTCTTCCCAGTCGGGATGCAGTTCCTCTCCCTCTGGCCTCACGCCCTCTGCAAGTCAAGCCCTTACTCTCCTCAGCTCATTTCTTGCCCCCAACATTGCCTCTTTCTCCTCCACTTCATTCCTCAGGACTCCATCCCTGCTTTTATCACTATCTTTATCATCATTGCTAAAAGCACATACCAAATTACTGTATTTGAAAGAAGAGGGTTTCTTTTAGGACAGGGGCTCTAAGATTTGTTCATTTATAAGCACCCCATTAATGGGCACTGTGCGTCACAGTTCTCGGCTCCTAATTCTCAAGGTTTGGGGTCCTTTTGCTGCTTTTTACATGCTCAACTGAGGGTGAGTGGTCAACTGGACTGGACGTCTGCGCTGGCTGCTGTGGGGAGGCCTCTGTGCGAGGACTGGTGCCCTCCCAGTGGGAAAGAACTGTTCTTTGTCTCCTAGGCTGGCTCCTGACAAAGTTCAGCAGAGGTGAGACATGGCCGTCTTCCCCAGCCCCTGCCTCTGTGGGTGTGTGCTCACTCTCATGCTTCTCCAGCTGCCCTGGCTGGATTCAGGTGGGTCTCCCCTTTGCCTCTGGCCTGCATGGCTGCGATTTTCTCAATAAACCTAAATGATCCCATTTGGTTCTCCCTGGGGGCTACCACTGGGTCCCAGATGGACTCTGTTGGGTTGTCCCAGGAGTAAGAGGAATAGTGGCAAAGACGCTGCCCGTCGGCGAGGAGCTGGACCTGGGTCAATCCTCAGCCCCAAGTCCCCATCGGGTCTGACCGTCCTGGTTTCTGGCAGCTCACTTCGACGTGGTCGGGCCCCCGGATTCCATCCTGGCCATCGTGGGTGAAGACGCGGAGCTGCCCTGCCACCTGTCCCCGAACGTGAGCCTGTCGCACATGGAGCTGCGGTGGCTGCGGGGGCACGAGTCCTCCGCCGTGCTGGTGCACCGTGACGGGCACGCGCAGGACGCGGAGCAGATGGCCCGCTACCGGGGCAGGGCCGCGCTGGTGCAGGACGGCCTCTCCCAGGGCCGCGTGGCTCTCAGGATCCGCGGCGTCCAGGTCTCGGACAGCGGGGTGTACCGCTGCTTACTCAGGCAGGGCGACAACCACGGAGAGGCCAGCGTGCGCCTGAAGGTGGCCGGTGAGTACCGAGGTTGCCTTCCTCCGACTCCTGCTGTCTGTCTTCCTGTGGACTGCCTTTGCACACACTGACGTTCCTGGAGTCCCTCAGGCTGGAGGGGTTGGCAGGCCTGGACGAAGGATGAGTGGGAAGGGTTGGCCCGAGAGTGCAAGGAGCCCCGCGAATTCCGTCTTGTAGACATTGATTTCACGCATCTGTGGCCCTTTCCTCTGGGTTTTAGGGTAAACATTTCCTCATTTTATTAAATCCATTTAAGACATAATGTCTCTATAACACTATTAATACACCCTATGTACTTGATCCGGTCTCAGACCTAACATTCATGTTGCGTCTACTGTAAAAACAGGGGGAGCAAAATCCAACAAGATTTTGCAAGACTGAAATATAATTAGACAATATATGAGAAACTGTCAACTCTAAAAACCTTCTACACTTGTAAGATATTACTGTAGCTCAGGCTGCTCTAGAATATATGATATACAAACATATTGCGCTTCATGTATATATTCAAGTAAAGATAAAGTGCAAAAATTTGGGGTGAAATCAGGGTCCCTGCTTCATAACAGCTATGCCCTGTGGCATTATCATGTGTAACTCACATTTCATTTTTAGGGAATTATCCTAAATGTGTATTACAAAACCCTAATGATATGATACCATAAATCTGTCCTACCCACTTTTATGAGTGACGGGCTCTTAGAGAATCTGCTGAAAGTGGCAGTTGTTTCCATGAGAAGAATACATGTTCTCACATATACCCACAAACTTGAATTTAAACCAGTAGTTATGGGCATGTGCTTAAGGACTCTTCTCTGTAACTTGGTGTTTTCTGTACTCTGTGGAAGTAGAATAAAATAATTAGCTTGAAGAGACCAGAAGAGCAGATGTTGATTTATGTGAAGACATAATTGTTTGAGGGAAATGAGGTAGAAATCATTTAAGAAATGTTCTGAATAAGCATCACAGGTCAAAGAAACGTAAAACATCAGCTATGATCTCAGTGCAAAGGATCTCCAACCAGCTCTTTCTCCTCAAGGATACTCCTTCTCTATTTACCTTTAGTCAGTCCTCATTTGCCTCCTTCCCAAAGTCTTCTCATAACACTTCCAACCACAGAGCTCCCTCTCAGCTCTGCAGCTCCCCGCCTAGATCACTGATCATCACCAGCCATTGATCTTGGTGTTTCTGCACACTGCACAGGCACCCCATGTCTACCCATCAAACTCCTGTCCACATTTCAACCACTAACCTTCAGCATGGCATCCCTCTCTGATGAGATGATAAAATTCCTTTTATTGATACCTCAGTTTCCTTGTGTAATGAAATAATGGAGGGGGGTCCACCTCATTCCTTGTCCTTCTTGTGCTTTTCATTCTCAAACTATGTAACCTTGTGATTATAAGACTCCCAGAAGTGTATCCACTGAAGGAGTAAAACAAGCTTCTCTCTCCACAGCCCTGGGCTCTGATCCTCATATCCATATAGAAGTTCAAGACAATGGAGAGACCCGGCTGGAGTGCACTTCAGCGAGATGGTACCCAGAGCCCCAGGTGCACTGGAGAACACCCGCAGGAGAGAAGCTTTCGTCTATGTCAGAGTCCAAGAATCCTGATGAAGAAGGCCTGTTCTCTGTGGCAGCTTCAGTGATCATCAGGGACACCTCCATGAAGAATGTGTCCTGCTGTATTCAGAATGTTCTTCTTGGTCAGGAGAAAGAAGTAGAAATTTCCATACCAGGTCAGTGAAACCAACACTGTGGTCTTATTTGACACAGCCTCAGGGCCACATCACAGAGGACACCCGCACATTCTGACCTCATAGCAGAGGGGTCTACTTTCACCAGCTAAATTTTTGCCCACTGACTTGAAAGAGCCCCACCAATTTCACTTGAAGAATAAAGGTTCTGAAGGCATAAACAGTACCTAGACCTCAAATAAATTCCAGATTTTCCATCTTAGGAGATATATTTTAGATCGAGAACTTTGTTTCTGGAGGCCTTCCTGATCCAAAGACTCTCATTGAGTAAACAAGATTAAGCTCTCCCGTTTCCACCCTCATCCCCTTTCTCCTCCACATCCCAGACCAGAGCTCCACCAGGGTCCTCAGGAAAGCAAATCTCACTGTTCCCCACACACTACCTCTAGTCCAGGCGGAAACTGTTCCTTATCCTTTGGTCATTGAGGGCTGCGCTGGCGAACACAGAGGCGATGTTTATCCTTCCTGATCTACTTTCCTCATCCCCTTGGCTCAGATCCTCCATTGATCATTAAGGAGGAATTTCCATAACAACATAAATTAGTCCATTTTTTTCTTTATTTCACAGGTTCTGTCCCAAAATGATTCTTGTTCATCTTCACCCCTCTCTTTCTCTCTCTTTCTTACCTAAGATCAAAAATTTTATTTTCTGAAAAGCCTTCTGACATTGGAAGGACTGTTTTCTCCAGGGGAGAAATGAGAGAGGTCCAGGTCATCCCCTCTTCTGAGTCCCTTTGGAACCAGAAGAGGAGTGGACTTTCTCAACATTTCTCAACAAATGTTCATGTGGGGGGACTTTGTTTTAGCTCCCTTCTTCCCACGGCTGACCCCCTGGATGGTGGCTGTGGCTGTCATCTTAATGGTCCTAGGAATTCTCACTATCGGGTCCATATTTTTCACCTGGAGACTATACAAGGAACGGTCCAGACAGAGGAAGGATGAATTGAACTCTACAGGTAAGTCACAGAATCCCAGGCTACTTGTCAGGAGTGTTTCCAAGTGAGGTTGGGTTCAGTCCTTTAGGATAACTGCCAATGGAAGATATTTGACTCTAGAATTCTCAAAGCCAGAGGGATTTTAAGGCTCCTGAAGTTCCTGACCCTCAGTGGGAACAAGAGCAGAGGTTTGGGTCCAGGAAGAGTCAGAACCAGCTCTGACAGGTATTAGACCTGATGATGACTCACTGCTCACCTGAGGCTCTATTCTCACTTTTATCAGTTTCCCAGTAATGATTAAAGATCTGATCCCAAGCCAGTAGGAACTTCCTGCATATTTCTTAGAAAACAAACAATTTTTATTCTTCATTACTGATAATGTTTCAGTAACTGAGCAGCTGTGATTTAATAGTTACTCCTTTGTGTGTTTCTCACACCACTTTTGTCCCTCCTGTCATGTCCACTAAAGAAGGTCATTAGTTATTTCTGCTTGTTTTCCAGAGAAACTGCTGGAAGAGCTCAGTAAGTTCTGTCTTCTTATCATTATTTCACCCTCAAGATTTTCTGTCCCTCTCTCTTTTTTTTTTTTTTATAACATTTGTCAATGCCTGTCTCTATGTCTGTCTCATTGCAGAGTGGAGAAAGTCTTCACTGCATGCAGGTCAGTGACTCTCAGTTTCTCAAGGGCTCTGAGGCTCACCTCCCAGGGATTCAAAGTCCTACCACACTTGGAAATAAAAGCACCAACACATTTTAGTGATGAGGATAGAGAGGGGAAAGATGATGGCAAATGGCATCAACTTTTCCTTGAGGCAATAGCGGGCCCTTGGGAGATGGCTAGGAGACAAGCCCCATCCGACACAGGGCATTAGGCACTGGGGGTGGTCAGCTCACACATTACCCTGTGGCTGTTGATGAAAGAGGGGAAGTGACAGCCGAGCAGACCAATCAGCTCTCCTCGGAGGAGACCTGTCAGCTCCTATTTCTTTGGAGGAGGAAGAACAGATCTTGCAGCCTCTCATGTTCACTCATGCTCAGACCCACTTCCTCTCCGTCTCTAGTTGATGTGACTCTGGATCCAGATACCGCCCACCCCCACCTGGTTCTGTATGAGGATTCCAAATCTGTCCGGCTGGAAGATGCACGTCAGCAACTGCCTGAGAAGCCAGAGAGATTTGACTCCTGGCCTTGTGTGTTGGGTCGGGAGGCCTTCACTTCGGGGAAACATTACTGGGAGGTGGAGGTGGGAGACAGGACCGACTGGGCAATTGGAGTGTGTAGGGAGGATGTGACAAAGAAAGGATTTGACCCCATAATTCCCAAGAATGGGTTCTGGGCTGTGGAGCTGTATGGAAATGGGTACTGGGCACTCACCCCCATGCGGACTCCTCTCCCCCTAGCAGGACCACCCCGCCGGGTTGGGGTTTTTCTGGACTATGAATCAGGAAACATCGCCTTCTACAATATGACTGATGGGTCCCATATCTACACTTTCTCCAATGCCTCTTTCTCTGCCCGCCTCCGACCCTTCTTCTGCTTATGGTCCTGTGGTAAAAAGCCCCTGACCATCTGCCCGATCACTGATGAGCTTGAGGGAGTCACAGTAGTTGCTGATGCCAAGGACCCTTCCAAGGAGATCCCACTGTCCCCCATGGGGGAGGATGCTGCCTAAGGGGACAGAGACATACTTCATTCTAAACTAATCTCTACCCAGCCCAGCCAAGAGGCACCTTCAGGACAATCCCAGCTTACCTCTTTCCCTTTGCTCTAACCCCTATCTGCTGCCACCCCCTGAGGCTTCAGCTGTGCTTCACCCATCTCCCACCGCTTCTTGTTAGTAGGCATGAGTTAGTCCTGGGAAGGTTGTGTTGCTGCTGCTAGAGTGTGCGGTGTAGGACCTTCCTCATCTGTTTCTGTACCAACATTCAGGGACCAGGGAGATGACTCTTGAACTAGTTCTGTTCTCCTACCCTTTGAGGCCAAATGCTAAAGGGAAGAACTTGAACAAACTCAAAAGACAGCTCAGGGATCACGATGGGGTTAGGAAGTCATGGGATTATTACCAAAACATTCTGGTGTCCAGACTAGGGGTATGCAGAGGAATAGGCAAGCAGAAACCCCAAAGGGTTCTGAAAACAGAAGACCCAAGGCTGAAACCCCATAAAGAAACCTGAAGGGATCATTGATGGAGGAAATTGAGGTGACCCTAGGCCAGTGAAAACCAGCTGGTCTTCCCCTAGAGTGTTAGGGACAATATCTCCAGGTTCCTAAGCCTTTCCTACCGGGTGGAGGAAACTGGTCCTACTGCCATGGGATCAGAGCAAAGATAAGAAAGAGTAGAGAAGAGATGCCGTAAGCAGGGCCAGGGTGTCAGACACAAGGTGAACAGAACAAAGAATTTTAGATAGAACTCAAAGCTGTGTGCACAGCTGTGTCTCAGACCCTGTTCCTCTCTGCACTGGCTTGTAGCGCCCTTGCCTGAGGGTCATTCCACATCATTTTGCGGGCTCCATAGTTTCCACTTCTCTTCCCCCTTATGCTCTAGACTCTCTCTATTTCAGAGGTATTTCCAGGAATCATCCTCAGTGATATCATCACTTCATCAGCAATGTCTCAGCCTCATGTCCCCTCAGCCTTCATCCCAACATCCTGTTTAACCCCTCAAACACACCTTCAATTAGCACCAACTGCCACCTAATTCCACACAAATGCCCTGTGCACCCTCTCTCCCTGCGGCCTTCCTACCAGGTGCCACTCCTTGGGTCCCCTGAATGCCATATCTCTGCTCAGCACAGCTAACCTGATTGCTCCTGTCTGTATTTGCATTTTTCTTATGCCGGTGGCTTGTCTGATGAATAGGCCGCAAATGTACCCATGCTCACATCTCCCACTTGGATTGTATTTTTCCACTGTTCAGGATAGATGTCGCCTATGTTCTTAACTTAATAAATAAGTCTGTCTGATTGCCGAAAGCAACATCTGTACCTTCCTGTCTTTTTGCAACAAGTGGAACTCTAACAAAAACTGAGGAAAGAAGCCTTCATGAGAATGCTGCTTGCCAAGCAGGCATTTCTATTTACCCAAGACCCATCCCAGGCCAGATGGCAATGGACTCACCAAGGCAGATGGCACAGGGCTACTTTCCCATGAGGATCCGGACACTCACAAAAAGGCCACAGTGCCACTGGCTGCCCGCCCTCAGCACCTGTTTTAGTGGTGATATAACATTTTTCACCACTAAGAATGTTATATTCCTGGTGCAGGTGAGTGAAGCCGCATATTGAAATTTTAACAGTACTTTTCCAGGATGAGGAAGTGTTTGGGAAAATTGTAATGGTAATGCCTTGCAATTGGGTAGCAAACAAACAAAATTGGGTGATCTTTGGAAGCTCCTGTTGAAGGCTCTTGTGAGCCGCCTGCTTTCCCTGCATTGCCAAGTGAGGATCAGGAACAATCACCTTGCCAGAGGCTCTGAACTTAACACAATTCAACCAGCTCTGCTGCCCAAAGGGACAGAACGTGAGTCTCCAGTGTCCTTTCCCCATCCTGCCTCAAACACTACTCACCCCACACTGCCCTTTGCATGCCACCCACCCACACTGTCCCTGTGAGAAGAACACGATTTGTCCCTGCTTTAACAAGATTCGTTTGTGTTCAATTTGTGCTTCCAGAAAGTCGAAGGAAAAGAAAGCCCAGACGTTCTTAAAAATACTGGGGAGCCACAGGCACTTGCTTTGCTGGTTTAACATGTAATGTGTATCCTGAAACGTGTATGTGAAACCTCCCCCAGAATAGACAGGCTGCTAGAGGAACCCCTCGCTGAGAATAGAAAGAAACCCGGTCATAGATTCAATCGCTCTTTGACTCCCCTCCCCCTTCCTTTTTCCTCTTCAAGGAAAATGGTCACCAGACAAAGTACTGAACAAGTGACTGATTCTTGGGAAACATCTGTGTTCTCCCTTTCCCCAGCTCCAGCCTTTGGGCACAAGGCACTCTGAGAAAGACCTTATCAGATGTGCCTTGAGGTGCCCTTTCCAGTGGGTGCCAGGTGCCAGTGCCTGGGGGAAATTATTCTGGTAATTCTGGCTTTATTTCTGAATCTTCTAAAAAAGAAGAACAGTCTCCTTGCCAAATGGTTTGCCAGAGCCTATCTTCATCACCAGAGGCAGAATTAGTGCTGCCGAGATTTCAGAAACCGTCCAGCTGTGTTTATGGAAGTTGCTGTGGTGAAAGCCAGGTGTCAAGCGCCCCCTTTGCTGGGTTTCGTAGACACAGAACCAACTCATACTTTTTTCTTTTTAAAAAATCTTTTAAAACCAATTTATTGCAATATAACATCTATTCAGAAAAGTCCACCAGTCTTCAATGTACAGCTAGATAAACTCAGAACAAGCAGCATGAGACCTGGGTCCCTCACACCTGCGATACGTGAGGTAGGGCTCCAGTGGCTGCTATGGATGGAGGCGCTGCAGGCCTTCTCAACAGAGCGTTTATCCATCATTCCTTTCTGAAAACCCTGCCTACAGACTGTGAGAGGGCATCCTTTTGGAAGTTTCCCAGGAAAGAAGATAGAACAATCAGAGGTTATGTAGCTTGTTGTTTAAATTTGGTGACTTTGCCTTCTGCTCTCCCTGGTTCCTTTTTACTTGCTGAAAAAAATATAAGAGCAGGAAAGATGAAAAATTTCTTCAAAAGAACAAATTAATCTCCGTATTTTTTTTGTAAAATAATTAAAAAGTCCATGCTCAGACCCATGTACAACACTTTAGTGAAACCCCACAGGGAAAATTTACCTTTAAGGTTTCACTTGGATCACCCATCCCCTTTGTTGAAAGGGTGGAAAAACCACAAAAAGGCCCCGCTGGGATTCGAACCCAGGATCTCCTGTTTACTAGACAGGCGCTTTAACCAGCTAAGCCACGGAGCCAGCACGCCGGCTGCTGTCCAAATTGATAGGGAAAGAGGAAGATCTTTGCTTTTGTTCTGGGCGTTTATTGTTTTTCTACGAGGGTCGGGAGCTGCCCAGATGTTTCCCCAGACCCTAAAGAGGAACTTCCCCGTTGCCTCCCCAAACCTAAGAAACCGCGCAGCTGTGGGAAAGCTGAGCCCTCCCGGCGCCGGGTGGGCACGGGAACAGAGGACCAAGGAAGGGGACCAGCAACAGTCACACTAAGACACGTCCCCGGTTGTGTGACACTTTGACCCCAGAACAGTTCTAGCACCAAGAACTGGTCCGTGCAGGAAGCAGGCTATATGTTCTCCATTTCACGGTTTTTAATTAAAATTCCAGCCGTTCCTTACCCCAATGTCTTTCCATAAATATGGGTTTCACCTGCTGCGTCCAGCTTATAATGTTAACCAATGCGATCCCAGAGTTGCACCTCAGAAATACAAGGTTTCCTAATTAAAACCTAGTCTTGGAAAGAAATAAAAGAGTGATCCCCCCTCCTTTGCAGCTACAGAAGGAAAGACACTTCCTTGTCCTAAAACTTGTCCAAAAGATCTGTTTTGATAAGGTGTCAAATTGAGAACAGTCACAATTGAGAACAATTTCTACTTTGTTATGGAGGATTGCTTGAGTATTTGTTACTGTTCTCCACTTATTCTATGTTTTGTAAGGTAAATCTGTCCTTGGGAATATAATTTGAGCAAGTGACATTAGTGAAACTCAGAACAGTTTACAAATTGTCACCACCGCTGTAAAAGTATCTTCCCAAATAAAATCTGTAATTATGATTGGCTGTCTTGTTTGAAATTTGTTTTCAGGATGATAATGTTGAAACCAACATTTCAGTACTTCTAAACTGTCTCACTATTTGAAGGGTTTCTCTGTCCCACTATAAGGCACTTAGTTCTGCCTACATATGTGATATGTAGGGGGCAGCATGACTCTGCCAGATTTCTTATTTTTGTTAAAATTTGAAAGTCAGTGAACTCAACACACAGTTTGATTGAAACTCCATGAAATAAGCACCCATTTCTTTAAAATTATAAGATAAGTCATCATATCATTAGCGTGTTTGGAACCAATATAATTATAAACAGCACAGTCACACCTAATACGGTTTGACCAAACTGTGGCAGTCAGAAAGAGGCTGGAGTATCTGGTTTGGGTTTTTCCTGTGACTGGCAGCTGTCAAAATTCGCACAGAAATTCTGTGAAGTTAAATGAGTTGTTTAACAAGCCAGAGTCAAGTCTTGGGAGAAAGCTGAGACTTAGAGGGATCACTCTGGAAATCAGGGAGTGAACTAGATTTTCTACTCAATTCTCAGTATGACCATCAAGGACCATGGAAAGGCCCTTCAGGTTGATTTTGTTCCACAAACCTGAAATCGGAGAAGGTGCAGATTGTTGTGTCACAGACACTGACAATAATGTAAAGGAACAGCCTGCTCAGTGTGGTGCAGTGGATTGACCATGTCCCATGGACTGAGAGGTCCCGGTTTGATTTCTGGTCAGGGCACATGCCTGGGTTTCGGTCTCCATTCCCCAGTGGCGGGTGTGCAGGGGGCAGCCAATTGATGCTTCTCTCTCAGATAGATGTTTCTAGCTCTCTCTCCCTTCCTCTCTTTAAAAATTCAATAATAATAATAATAATAATAATAATAAACAACCATATATATTTTTTAATGTAAAGAAATGTGGGAGTGGCAGACGGTGCCATTTTCCACATGTGCTTGGGAGAGAAACCAGAAAAGGGGTAGTCCATGAACTTGGAAGAGAAAATATAACTGTATTGTGACTACTTAATAAGTAATAACTGAAATTTTGTGTTTTCTTCCATTATGAATATAGGCAACAAATCAGCAGTTTTTATTAGAAATCACAAATTTCTTTTACAAATTTGACTTGTTCCAAATTGCTTAAAATATCATTATGCTCATTACTATTTTGAAATGTCAGTATTTATTAGACCGCCTGCTGGCATTGTGCATTAAAAAAAAAAAAGCACAAATATTACTAAACCATACATTTTAAATATTTTAAGATAATTGGTTTACCTTGGAAATCTTATGGATTTATCTTTTTTATATATATTTGAAACTATTATACCCTGACGGAGTCCATAACCACTAAACTTCCTACCGGTAGTAGTATCAAACCTGATCAGATGACCCCTGTTCTGCCTTAGCAAGAGCGAGAACTTCTGCATTTTTCTTAAGGACTTTTGCAACCTCACTAACTGAATACAAATATTTTCTAATCTCAATGCATATATTCTCAATGTCAGGCAGTTTCCCCCCATCTGTTTAGTAGCCCTCAACTATTTACAGTGCTCACCAGGCATGGGGATAATGCTTCCTCCTCAGAAACATGGAGAGGCTGAAACACACACTTGAGAGTCATTTCTGTGCTTCCTGAGAAAGCAAACAAGTGAGCATTCCAGTGTGCGCGGGAGCTGGTGAGGCTCTTTGTAAACGTGTCCAAGTGCTGGGATATAGGTAATGTGATCTTAGTAGCACCCAGTAAGGATGCTTACCAGTCTTGCTTAGTAATTTTTTGAAATATTTTGTCTTAACGACCCGAGAAGAGACAAAGAAGTCTGATCATGCCACCCTACAACCGCTTCCAGTTTCCTAAAGTAGCAGCCAAAGTCCGGATAAAGGCCTGCGAGGCCAGAGGTCGTGTCCCGGGTCTGCTGCCCCTATCCACGGAGCAGTGGCTTCTCACCTTACTGGATTTGCCCAAGTTGACTCCCGCTTCCAGGCTTTCCCCTGGAGATTACCCCAGTCCCAGATAGCTCTGCTCCCCGATATCTGCATTTCTCTGTCGTCCACACCTTCCCTGCTGGGCTTTTCTATTCCTTTTCCCGGATTTTGCGTTGTTTTTCTCCAAGCTATCATCACCATTATTTTATTTATTGAGACATAATATGGGTTAGATGATGCAGGACGGAGGGAGGTGATGCTGGGGCAGAGGCTCTGGGCTTGCTTCCCTTGCGGACACGGCAGAAAAAGGAACCCCGACCTAAGTACGTCCAAACCTGTAAAGAACGTTTATGAATTTATTTGAGCCATACTGACGTTACAAAGGAGCCAGATCTCAAAAGCTCTGGAGAATGGCCGTTTTGTAGCTTCTTTTATGCATTTGGAATAAAGGGGGAAGATGAGAGAAAACAAGATTCCGGACATTACATGACCATGTGCTCCCTGGAGGTTGGTGACACCTCGGAGGGACCTGAAAGAGAGGGTTACTTCTGGTATTTCAAATGTGTGTCAACCTAGATGTACAAGGACAATGAACAGGGTTTACTTAAGGCGTAAATAACTCCTCACTAAAGAATCATAGACCTGGTGCGTGACTCGCTACAGGACCTGCCCAGTCGGGGGCTTGCGCGCAGACCCTCCTGAGGCTGTTGTCGGCCACTGGTTGATCACAGAGTCCCTTTTCAGTCACAGGGCCTCGGAGCTGCTGTGAGTGGGAGAAGAGGCGCAGGTCTTTCAGGGCCACTGACCCGGGAGGCGCGCAGACCCGGCGGGGACGGCGCCACCGCCTGCCTTTGGAAGAACGTCGCCACCACCTGATTTTTGATGAAGAAAAGCCGCCGCCCACCTTTCTCTGCCCGGGCCAGTGGCGCAATGGACAATGCGTCTGACCACGGGTCGGAAGATTCCAGGTTTGACTCCTGGCTGGTTCGGCAGGGGCGGTTCCGTTTTACTTCTCTCCGCCAACCACCGAAGGGCTCGTGGAGGAGAAAGTTCCTGCAGAGCAGGCGGCAGCGCATCCCGGCGCCCGCCCCACCGATCTCTCAAAGGAAGGGTGGCTGTGAAGTAACCTTTCACCAAAGGGGAAGCAGTTAAGGTGCAGGAATACAGGTTGAGGAATTTAATGAAAGTTCACTTGCAATGATTAGAGCCTTTCTTTTGTTCTCCCCCATCGGGTCATTTCCGGTATAAACAACAGGGCCAGGCTTACGCGCAGGCGCACACGATTCTGCAGGCGCGCTGAGGCGGGAGGGGCGGGATCTAAGAATGAACTACGAGCCGCGCTTGCTCCTTCCCAGCGCGTTTCCGTAGTGTAGTGGTTATCACGTTCGCCTCACACGCGAAAGGTCCCCGGTTCGAAACCGGGCGGAAACACGTATTTTTCTCGTAGAAAGAATTACTCAAACACCGATTTTACTGAATTTTTAAAAATGTTCGAAACTTCATAAATACATGCCTCCTTTTCCTGCCTTACTCGCCCGGGGCCGTGGTGCTGACGTGGGAGCGGAGCTGGGAGCCCGCCGCGGCCCGAGCCCCGGAAGCGCATCCCCGACTCGCGGCCTTCCTGCTCACGGATCTCCGGCCTCCCGTCCCGCGAGGGGACGGCCTGGACACTCGGTGAGTGTGGCGTCTCGGGGCGCCTCCTGTCCCGCGCTCCGCGTGACCAAGGACGGCGGGGTCGGTGGCCCATTGTAGCCCCTGTGGGGAGGTCGCGGTGAGCGATTCCTCCGTCCCCGGCTCGAGGTGTCACCAGTGGGACACCCTCCGAGGGGACACCCGAGCCCAGGCTTCCCCCACTTGGCCTGACCTCCCGTCAGCGGCGGACACCTCCCAAGTGGAGGGACGGAGAAGCTTCCGGGAGCAGAGGGGCCGCCCCACCTGTGTCCGGCGGGACCTTCGCCCGGGGTGGCCGCTGAGTGTCGGACAGCGGGCCGGCGGCCACCGCGTTCGGGGACACAGCCTTGTTGTTCCAGCCATCGGCCTCAGGGCCCGTCTCGGACGCGTTTTCGTCACTTGTTTCCATCCGCGTCTAAGGGTCAGGAGCCAGTGCTCAGCTCTCGTGGCTCAGGTTCCCTCAGTGCCCGGCACGAGTGGGACTTTGTGACGAGGGACGGGCACTCCTTTCCCAAAGACCTGCTCTTTGTTTGTTCCAACAGGCTGCCGTGCGCCAATCCCTTCCGTGCTCCCTCTAGGCCCCTGCTTCGGTCACCCTGTTAGCGGACAGCAGCTGGGCCCCTCGGTTCCCATTCGTCGGAGATATTTTACTTGCCGTCCGCCTCTCCCACTCAGGGCCCTGGCCGGGCGGGGACGGGGATGGGCCCTCGTCTTCCCTGCACCCGAGGGCCGCAGCCGGGAAGCCGGGGGAGCCCCCGCCGACCGGTGCACGTGCCGACAGGTCGCTCGACGCCGTGGCTCCGCGCGCGAGACCCCGCCCTGCCCCGCCTTGCGGGTCCCAGTCCTGGTCGGTCAACGCCGTGAGCGCAACGCGGCCCCCAGCACGGAAGGAGCCGAGAGACCGAAGCACGAGGCAGACGAGCCCACTGGTCGGCTGCTGAGTTTACCAGGAGACAGCGCAGAATCGCGGGGCTGGGCGGCGGGGCTCAGGGACTTCGGCGTCCACCCAGCCAGGCGGTTTCACGGCGGAAGCCGCGGGTCTGCACGCCGGACACGAACGTGCGAGATCAGAGGGGCCGACGCCGGGGCTGCGGCGAGCTTCCCGGCCACTCGTCCAGGCGCCGCTCGGGAGAACTAACCGCACCCTCGTGTGCGTCCCCGGACCCGGGGGCCAGACGGAGATTAGCGTCACGGCCGAGTCACTGGGCTCCGCACACCCTCCTAATGGAAACTCAGGCTTCGGCCTGGCCTGACGTTTCTTTTGGAAGGTGGGAGACTGACTGACATTACGCGACCTCTTGCCCCTGTAGTTCGTTGGGCCTTGTATTTGCTTTTATTTTACTTTTATGTTATATACTTTATTCTTTCTTTCTTAAGTCTGGTGTTAGTAACCTTCTTCCAGGTCTTGCCTCCAACCCTAAGACCCTGTCTCGCCCTAAGTGAGGCAGAGAGAGGAGGGAGGTCTTCTGACTTTGGGGTGGGACTGAAACCAGCACTCAAGTTAGAGTTATCTTTCGGAAACCCCGGTTCAGTAACAGTCGAGGGACCAAAAGAATACAGCTAAAATGTGCCTTCCGTGTGTTTGTCGGGTGGGAGTACGTATTGGAAGAGGTGAGATCTATGAAAGAGGAAAAAAAAAATTTTATGTGCTTATTCTAAGAAGTGCTTGTTAACATTTTGCCCATTTTTAAATTTTTAATTGTGTCCTTTTCTCATGGATCTGTAGGAATTCTTTATATATTCTTTTGTCAGTTATAAGTGTTATGAATCCTTTATCAGTTATATGTGTTATGAATATCTTTGTTCAGCTTATAAATGATCTTTTTACAGTTTTGTGCTATCTTTTTGATATACAAAAATTATTAATTTTAATATAATAAAATTTGATTTTTAATGTGGTTAAATCTGACAGTCTTTCCCTTTATGGTTTACACTTGTTGTGTCTTGTTTAAAAAATATCTTTTTAGGAGCAGAGTGAAGAAGACATAAGAACCCCCTGGACTGAAAAACCATTTGCCAGGCACTGCTGCCACCATGCCCAAGAGAAAAGCAAAAGGAGACGCTAAAGGTGACAACGTGAAGGTGAAGAATGAGCCACAGAGAAGGTCGGCGCGGCTGTCTGCTAAGCCTGCTCCTTCAAAACCAGAACCCAGGCCTAAAAAGGCCCCTTCAAAGAAGGGGAAGAAGCTGCGCAAAGGAAGAAAGGGGAAAGCAGACCTTGGCAAGGATGGGAGCAGCACTGCAAAAACCCGAGAGGCCACCACAGCCCAGTCACAGAAAGCAGAAGGCACCAGGGATGCCAAGTGAAGTGGACTTTTTTCATAGCTCCGTACTTGTAATGCCTCTACTGTTTGAAATAATATTCTTAAATCAAATTTTATAAAAATTATAAAGTTATGTTGTTAGCACAGAAGACACTTTGTTGTCTTTTTTGGAATGGGCAAATATCACTAATAGAGTAAAAATAGGATTTTCTGTCCTTGTTTTTGAAGATTATTCTTGGTTCCATTCACACATCAGCCACGTTGGCTCAAAAGACTTACAGCATGGGGAAGTCAAACATCATGTCTTCTTTCCTGATGCCATCAGCATATAGCTGACTTCCTGGAACCTAGACTTATGTTGTGGCCTTGGCACCCCTAAATCTGCTGGGTTGGGCAGCAGTGCTCAGGCTTTCTGGTGATGACATCGAGATTATGTTGCTCAGAGGAGCCAAGATTTCTGTTTGTAGTTTGTGGATCATCTTATTGAGAATCCTGCAGCTTTTAGGTTTTTTTCCTGTCAGAATTGACCTGTGCAAAGCTCTTACATGCCTCATATAAAATGTCTATCCCTTCTGAAAACTTCTCCTGTTCAACGCAGCAACAGAAGATTTGATTGACTTTTTGAAGAAAGGATTTTGGAAGTTGTAAAATTTTGTAGATTGTTATCCATAGTCTGCTGGAAGTAACTGATTTTTTGTTTGTTTGTTTTTAAGTCTGAAAAAGTTGAATACAAATTGGTGGTGGGAGGGGGATCATTTTCTACCCAAACTCATAAAGATATTTTTACTGCCTTGTAAAAGTTGTATAGTTTTGCTTTTCACATCTATCTTTAGTCTTTCCTGAACTGATTTTTGTGAAACATATAAAAATAAAAGTTCAGCCGTGGCTGGTTTACCTCAGCGGTTAGAGCGTTGGCCTGCGGTCTAGAGAGACCCGAGTTTGGTTCCCGCTAAGGGCAAGTACCTCGGTTGCAGTTTGTCCCCGGCCCTGGTTGGGTTGTGCGGGTGGCAGCCACTCGATGTTTCCCTTTCACCTCGATGTTTCTCTCTCTCCCCCCTCCCACTCTATCTGAACAAAAAAATAAAAAAAAAAGGAAATATGTCCTCAGGTGAGGATAAAAAAATAATAATAAAATAAAAGTTCAATATAATATTTTTTCCATATGGATAAGAGGTTGTCCCAACACTATATTTACAACAGTTTATCTATTACCCTGGTGATAGATACTGGCTCTTTCATAAATCAAATTTATACCTGTGGTGAGTAGGGTCTGATGGTGATTCCTATTCTGACTGACCTGTCACTTTGTCTAACCCATGGCAGTGCTATGCAATCCTGAGTACTGTACCTAGAAAACAGTCTTGATATCTCAGGACAAATCCAACCTCCTCTGCCAACGCCTCCACCAAATATTTCTTCCTCAGGAGTGTCTTGGCTATGCTTAGCTAGGCCAACAAGTTCTAAATCAAACAAACAAAACAAAAAAGTGTTTGAATTTATTGGATTTATATTGAATTTGTAAATTATAGCGTTCAGTCTTTTGATCTATGAACCTAGTATAGCTCCATTTATTTAGGATCTTTAAATGTCTTTCAATAAAGTTTTATAATTTTCTCCACAGATGTCTTATTTTGTTAATATTTCCTAGGGACTTTATATGTGCTTTTTAATTCTATTTTAGATGGTGTATTTTTAGTTACTACATATTGTTTTTAGTGAAACTTGATTTTTGTGTTCAGCAACCTTGCTAAACTCTCATTAATTTTTATACTTGTATATTCTTCTGGGTTTTCTACATAGCCAACCATTGGTTTTGTGTTTGCAAACAATTGTTTCTTCACCAACTTTTACCACTTTCCCTTTTTCTAATGTGAGATATTGTCCAAGTGCCCAGGTAGTGGGAGAGGGGTACAACAGTGAACAAAACAGTCTCTACTTCTACCAAACTTATATTCTGGGGATGGGTGAGCTAGAAAATACAAACATTTATGTGACAGGGAGACTTAAGTATAAGTAGGTACTAAGGGTGTTAGGTGATATTTCAGCAGAGCATTTAATGAAGTAGGGGAACAAGAGATGTGACTATGAGGGAAAAGCATTTCAGCAGAGGGAATAGCAAATGCAGAGGTGAGGTGGAAGTAGACCTGCTGAGTAAGAACTAGGAGGCAGAAGTGGCTGAATTGGAGTGAGGGTAGGAGTGATAGTTTATATGATTGCAGAGATGGCCAAGGTCCAGGGAATGGAACTCTCCAGGCTGTAATTGTTCTCCTTGACAGGAGGCCATTAGATTCTGAACAGAGAAATGACACAATGTAAGGTGTGTGTGTGTGTGTGTGTGTGACTGATGCATGGGCTATATGCTGTACTGGGGAAGAGTTAAAGCAGGAAGACTGTTTAGATAACTCACAACTGAATTACTGGAAATTCTACTTTATCCTGCTATCCTTCTTCCGCTCAACTGTGCCCACCCCACTTTATTCCATAAACAACAAACATTTATGTGTGCTTTCTTTTTGCCAAACATTCCAGGATGAAAGATAAGCACTCTCTGTTCTCAAAGCCCAAAGTCAAGTGATAGATATCACCACAGAGCAGTGTGCTTAGTGTTGTGATAATGCCTCAGGAGACCAGGATGCCAGAACTTGAAGGGGTTTTAGGGAGGGCTTCCTGGGGCATTTTGACATCTAAACAGCAAAATGAAAACAAGTAGCAGTTGGTCAAGCAAGAAGTGCAGAAAAGTCTTCTAGTAAGATAATAACACAACGATGTGAATAGAATATGGCACATAGATGTTCAATAAATTGATGAATCAAATTAAAATTTATAATCATAGTTTTTTACACGGTTTACGTTGTTTGCCAAAGACAGCCTGCCCAGTGACTTACATGCATACTTTTATTTCCATGACTATAAATTAAATACTACTATCCCCATTTCGCTTCAAATGCAAATAATAGAAGTGTTCTGCCAGCTAAACGGTTGTAATTTCCAGTGAATAAGGGTAGTAACGAAAGGAAAATACATTCCAGGGGGAAAGTGGCGTGGAATTCAGGGTGTTCGTTTGCCTCCAGCAACACAAAGCTGTTTCTACATAAGGACAGTTTTTTAGACAGAAACACTCCTGAAGTGGGACGAGCAAATTAGGAAAACGTAAGTACGCCTTTAAACGTCTTTGCCCATCTTTCCGATCCATTAGGCACTGGTAGCCTAACACCTTGGTTTACAAACATGTTGGGGATTTGGGTGTCTGAGTGATTCAGGGTTCTCAACAATCACATTTAAACCCTCACAAATGGAGGCACTGGTGCTGGGAGGGTTGGGAAAAAGACGGAGGGACTCGTCTCGGTAACCATCCTCGCCTCAAAGTTCATGTTTCAACCGCCGTCTCAGCGACGCTCTAAAACGGACATCGCTTCTCTCCAAAACCCCGCAAAGGCTGCCGGGCCGGGTCACCAATGAGTGCGAAAGCCCTACCCGGAACTTCCGGGGACGCAGCCGCCCCGCGTCGACGCACTTCCGGTCAACTCTAGACCGTCAGAGTGCGCCTTGTCGGTGACCCCGCGCATGCGTGTATGGGTTGCGTCCAGATCCCCAGGCGGCCCGACTCTGTGAGCGTGAAGATGCTCCCTGGGCGGCCCTCGGGGCCCTCGCAGACCTGGCTCGAGCTTCGTCCCGGGCTCTAAGCCCGCGACCCTTTGGTGAAATTCTGGTGTAAGGGGCCGCCGGCACCAGGAGGTCGCCTCGAGGAGCGGCTGCTTCACCTCTTAGCTGCCTGATGGTGGCTTTGGAGCCCTTCTCGAGATTATATTTTAAAAAGCAACAAAAACCCGAAATATAGGTAACAAAGAAAACCAATTATGCTACGAAATAATTACCAAACAATAGGAATAATTTGCAGTACAGTCATATGTGTGCTTCTTCATTAATGTAATGCATTAAATAGTAAACATCAAGACCCCTCTTATGACAACTATAGTTTTAAAGTAAGTAGGAGATATTTGTAACAACTGTATTGGGCGTGAAAATATCTGCGATTTTTCTTGGCGACAAAGCCACAGCTACTTCTCTTCTGACTGAAATTTGTTGCTTACATTCAACTGAATATGCTAATTTCAGTTAGAGGTTAGAAATTTTAAAAATGTAATTTTTTTTTTTTTCTCATCCAAGTTCAGCAGTCCCCAAGTTAAACCTTGCAAAAGTGCTTAATACAGTGCTTGGCACATGGAAAGCCCCTCCCTCACAATGTAGATATTAGTAATTCTATTATTGCTTTTTTTTTCTTTTGCACTGCTCTAATTTCTTTTAGGTGACATGATGGAGTTAATCACAAGAAATTTTGAGTCAGAACAAAGATGAATTAGACGTCAACCCATTAATTCAGACATGTTAACTGAAAAATAAAAGGCCAAAGCAAGAGGCAACAGTGTTAATTTCAGGTCAATAAGAATAGCTATTTCTTTGGAAAGCACTGATTCAGGCAGAAGCCCTAATAGTGCTCTGATTAGGAGGCAAAGGTAAGGGGTGTTTATGAGAAAGGGAAGGGGAACAATTATACCAATAGAAGGAAGGTATTGCTATTGGTACAGATAAGCCAACATAGTATTGCTAACTCCAAACAATATTTTTTATTTTCATGCCTTAATCATCAGTTTGGTGCTCATTATCTCAGCTTTCTTGTTATCCTTGCAAACAGTTCTTTGGGGGAACAATGTTGCTTTAGGCCTAGTCCAAAGGGTTTTAATATCCAAAGGTTTGAGACACAATGTGCAAGGGAGTTCTGGGATGGCAGCTCCAGCTCCATTATAAAGTGGCTCCATTTAGAGAGGGCAGGGGTGATGGATGTGGAAGAGGGCACAGAGGGAATAAAATGGTGATGGAAAAAATAAAATAATAATAATAATAATAATGTAGTTCCATTTATATTATTTTACATTCTCCACCCCTCCTCCCCTTTTGATTAAGATCTTTCCTTGTAAGCATTGCTGACTAATTATTAAAAAGCAGCACTGGTCAGTTATTAAAAGCATTGTTGGTTCTTCATTGTCAGGTGGCTTATTTTGAATATATCTTGTTATTGTCGGTCCTCTTCACCAGGAAGGCTCATTCCCTGTATGTCATGTCTCATGTAGGAGGGAAAGTGGTTTTGTAGGAACTGGAGGCCACATTTGAACAGCAAAATCGCCAGAACAGAGGAAGGCTTTATCTTTAAAGGCAGGGAAACATCTGTAGTTTCTTGTTTTTCTTTCCCCCTTCCTTCCTGCCTTCCTGTCTGCTTGCTTGCTTGCTTGCTTGCTTCCTCCCTCCCTCCCTTCTTCCTTCCTTCCTTCCTTCCTTCCTCCCTCCCTCCCTCCCTCCCTCCCTCCCTTCTTCCTTCCTTCCTCCCTCCTTCCCTTCTTCCTTCCTTCCTTCCTTCCTTCCTTCCTTCCTTCCTTCCTTCCTTCCTTCCTTCCTTCCAAGCAATATCAAAGGACAGTCAATTAAAGATTTATCTTTACAGTTAGAAATTAAGAGGGGAAAGAAAACAACTACTATATTGAGTGCTTGGCCTCTTGTTTTATTTGTGAGATAGGAAGAAACTAAAGTAAGAAAAAAAAAAAAAAAGGAAAAATGAATATATAGATTATACAGACCTGGCCCAGAATCTTTGATTAGTTGTCCACAACAGATGTCATTTGCTTTATTTCCTAGTAAATTCAACTTCAAATCCCCTGTTGGTTGATCAGTCCAGTTAGGAGGTGTTGTTTTTCTGCAGGTTTAGTGCTCATTTGATGATTTTTAACAGCAAGAAAAAATATCTAATTTTTCTGTTATCTTGTTGATCCATTATGATGAAATTTTTGCTTTCAGCAATTACCAAATGAAGTCTCAATCTAGGGCTGCCAAGCAATGCAGAGATAATGGTGCCCTGGCACTCAGGTGACTTGAGGCTTTGGGTCACTCCAGGACAGGGGGCTTGGATTTAGGGGAAGGGTTGGAGCAAGCGGCTTAGGCAGCACAGCACCCATTGCCTTGAACCATGTTACATTTCATTTCATGGTTACCCTACAGCCCAGTGTTTCCCAAGGAGGACTTGAAATCAACTTAATGGTGGGTAGCACCCAGCATTTAAAAAAAAAAAAAAATCAGAATCTAAAATAGCAGAATGCAGGGCATGTGGAAGAGTAAATGGTTATTTAGGCAACTTTTGTTCCTGTGACCTGTGTATTTATGGGTGCAGAGGTAAACTAAACTTCAAACTGATCCTGGCCACAAAGTTTGAAAGCCACATGAGTTCTGAGTGCTTACCACACTTTATTTCCCTGGGCATCCCCAGAGCTGAACAAAGCAGGTGATCAGAAAGGAGCACACTGAGCGAGCAGTGTAGCGCCTTTGTTGCTTTTCAAAAACAATTTGAGCTTTGATAATTGGTAACTACTGTCAATAAAACGTTTACTCATGCTAGATGAGGTGTTTTTGTCCTGTGATTTCCAGCCACCTGACTGAAAGGCCCTCCTATGTACCGAATAGGCCCTAGTTTATGATTTCCTTTTCCGTTACTACTTGTTGGAATAAAATTGCAGGAATGCGGAAGGAAAACTATTGCGCCCGAACAGGGACTTGAACCCTGGACCCTCAGATTAAAAGTCTGATGCTCTACCGACTGAGCTATCCGGGCTCACATGGGTGGAGGTAGTCACATTAACTATACTTAATTTAACTATAAACTAGAAGGCGAAGGCCATTTTAGAAGTTTTATCTGTAATTCCTGTTCGGAGGTAGTCATTCAGAAAATGCTTGTTAATACTAATAAGCGCAGAAACTCAGCTGCAACGAGGTTTTTTTTGTTTGTTTGTTTTGTTTTTTTAAGACGGGGATCTATCCTGTCACATTAATAATCGTGTCCCCCAAACCCTATATATATGATATACGCTATGATATATGTATAGATATTGTATCTATATAGTGCATATAGATATATAATGGATTACATAGAATTCAGAGCAGTCAAGAACTGCTCAACTCTGGTCTTCGGTTCCTACGCTTCCCCGAGAAATAGCTCCAATAATCTACTCTTGGGCCCCAGCGGAGTACTTTCAAAAGGAAGCCGAGACGATGCTGTGTTTTATCTAGTGAATTAAATCATCTTTTCCGCAGCACTCTGGACACCTCAAAAGGAACAGAGGAAACGGTTTGATTTCGTGCTGGGCGTCAGTTGTATTTGGAGAAAAAAAATAAAGAAAAGAAGTAAGCTTTTAAGGAAGAGCCCCACTCTCCTTTTCCGGATCAGATTTCAGGCACTTACCTCGATCCCTGTGTCTCGAGGTTAAACGCTGCCTAGGGTCCGATGGCTGCAAGGCTTCCTCCACTTGAAATACCAATAAATGTCCCACCAACCATGTCGAGGTTTTAGGAATACATAAAAGAAAATTTAGCTATAACATTCAGAAGAGCGCAATTGCAGAGGGGGAAAAATCGGATTTAAAAAGTTGGAGAGAAGAGGAGAGAGGTCAGCTACGGGATAGGGGATGTAGCTCAGTGGTAGAGCGCATGCTTCGCATGTATGAGGCCCCGGGTTCGATCCCCGGCATCTCCAAGTCCCTTTTGCGCTTCCACAATCAGTAGTTACATTTTTAAAATGCCCAATTAGTATATGCTGTATCCTCCTCTTCATTAATTTCTTAAAATATTCTTTGATTTTAAAGAAAAGCAAGCAAGAATGTATTGACAGCAGCAAAAACACATTTAGGCCTACAGGGTTCTTTTAGCCACTGCGTGTAGAACTGTATGTAGAGATGGAGATTAGATTCCTTTTAAGTATTTGAGGATCTTTATCTGAAACAAAATTGAAAGAGATAAACACACCCAATGGAGAGGCCGAAGAGGAGCAACCTGGAGAATTGCTCAGGACTCATTGACTTAACGGCCATCTGTGGTGTCTGGCTGGCCTTTAAAGGGACAGAAATAATCTTATCCTGAGAACACAGAAATGTAAGGAGGCGTATTGTTATCCTCTGGTTGCTGCGTCGTGGCCCGAAAAAATAGGACCAACATCGAACAAGAGGAAGCCCGGCTCTGGGTGGACGAGTTCAGCTCCTGGGAAACACCACATTGATAGTAGTAAGAAAGAAAAAAAAAAAATTCAAATATAGAAGACTCTTCTACTAACTTTTCGTCCCTTCTTTTATCAGTTGGCCGGTTAGCTCAGTTGGTTAGAGCGTGGTGCTAATAACGCCAAGGTCGCGGGTTCGATCCCCGTACGGGCCATCGGTGCTTTTTTTTTTTTTCCACCGATGCGGTTAAGTTTATCGTGGTGTTTCATAAACTGGGGTACTTTTCTAGAGTAGGGGAGACGCAGCCCGCTCACTGCGTCTCCACCGCCACGGACCGTCCGAGGGAGCACTGGTGCTCGCAGCCTTTGCTCTGGATCAGAAAAGCAGCAGAACACCTTAGCAGTGATTAAATTCATTAGAAGCAAAAAGTGTCACCAGGTTACTGGCCAAGCACTTCCTTCGAAAACTCCGACACAGTAGGTACGTCTTGAGCTACTGGAACGAGGGTCCGTGTGAGCAGTCTGATGCTCAGTGAGCAGTTTCCTTCGGGGTGGATCATCAGAGGATCCCAACTTGAGCCCTTTTCCAGGTTCCACCTCGCCCTCTGTCGCCGAACTGTCCCTCTGTTCTCTCATTTCCTGATATGACGCCTGTCAAGTCAGCCTCATGTCCCACCAAAACAGACTCATCGCCCTAGTTATGTATCTCCTAGTTCCTCGTGCAGCGCATTTCCTTCACTTATTTGCCACCTCACAGCTTCATGTCCTGCTGAGTAAATTTTCACCTGTTTTCCGTGGGAAATGCTGAGATCGAGTCAAGAGCTCCACGTGGGTTTGGGAACCCGCGGAGGGCCGAATTAGCCCCGCGCTTACAGCTGAAGGGGCCTTGTCAAAATGCAGCCCGTGGGGCCTCGCCTCACAGGAAGGGCACAGATGTCTGCGCTCCTAACAAACGCCACGGTTGTTTCTTACAAACGATGGGTCATCGACCTCTGAAAAATAAGGCTTAGTACAGTATCTAGAGAGGATTTGGGTTGTGGAGAAATCCGGGGAAGTTCTGAGAGCAACGTTGACCTGGTTTTCAAAATAGGAAAAAGAAGAGAGAGGGAGGTAGAAGGGGAGAAAAAAAAAGATCAGTCATAGTTTTGCCCATCTATACATGAAATAGAAACAAAAACAGAGATTCACTATACATTTAATATATTCAAGCGAGAAAAAAAAAACCAGGCGCTTGTGCGGCTCGTTGGTCTAGGGGTATGATTCTCGCTTAGGGTGCGAGAGGTCCCGGGTTCAAATCCCGGACGAGCCCAGCTTTTGCTGCCTACTTATGTCACTAACAGGTTGGTAAGAATGGGGGTAAATGGGAAGATGTAGTCAAAGTGGATGGGAAGGTACGTTAATAATTTCATAAAATGCTTACATTCTTTTAATTCATGTTATTTTACTTATAAAACAAAAATAGACGAGATCTAGAATCTTATATTCAAAGTCGGTCCAGAACAAGATCGATGGGAACCGGACAGGGCGCAGCTTTGTGGAGCCTTAGCGCAGTGCTGGGGAGGGGGGCGGCCGAGAGGGCGGCGGTGGTCGGGCCGCGCAGGCGGAGATGGAGTGGGGCCCCGGCTCAGACTGGTCACGGGGGGAGGCTGCCGGCGTGGATCGTGGAAAGGCGGCGCTGGGGCTCGGCGGAAGGCCACCCCCACAGTCGCAGCCGCCCCGGCATGAGCGCGCCCGGCAGTTGCTGGACGCGGTGGGGCCGCGGCAGCTCCCGGACACCATCGCCGCCTGCGAGGAGATGCTGCGGCAGCTAGGCCGCCGACGCCCGGAACCCGCGGGTTGCGGGAATATTTCAGCCAAACCTGCAGCGTCCCCCGAGCCAGCTGTCTGCGCCAGAGGTGGCTTTCCAAAGGCTGCTGGCGATGGAGCTGCGGAGCCCCTAACCATTCCCAAGCCGGTGGCCCTGAGTTCTCTCTCTCCCCGGGGCTGTGGCTGGACTCTGAACAACTGCCTTCAATGAAGGGGCCAGGAACTTGGCCCTCGGTCTAAGGTGGCAGCTCTGCTAGCAGCTGGGTTCACTCCCACTTCATCCTAGCGGAAGGCTGAGCTTTGAAATGTAGCCAAGGAATACCCAGTCTGATTGCCGGGTTTTGGCAGGCCGGCAGAGCTTGCCAGAGTGGTCTGGCCTGCTTTGGGGGATCCAGGTGTTGTTACATGTCCATTGCATGCTTTGGGTGCTCCAAGTCCCACGAAAACACTTTTAGCAGAGTCTCGATTAAAAGAAAACCTGCAGACTCTCAAAAAAAAAAAAAAAAAAGAACAATAAAAGTCCGACCCAAAAGAATTATGTTAGTCTGATAGGTTATTGGGCACAACCGTCCTTCAGTGCCCGGCTAGCTCAGTCGGTAGAGCATGAGACTCTTAATCTCAGGGTCGTGGGTTCGAGCCCCACGTTGGGCGAAACCTTTTTAATCTTCTTCTCACGCTTTCCTACCTGATTTCCTAGACTTGTTAGCGCCACAAAAGGGATCCCTTACCGTTGTCAAACGAGAAAGTGGGAAGCGCCACTCTCTCTAAGCATGGGATTTTGGTGAGTTGCTACTACCCGTGGCTCCGCTGATCAATTGCGCCCTCTAACTGCTGAGTGTGGCCTCACCGCCCCCGGGCAGGATTGAACTTCTCTGGCCTATTACTTTTGTTTATACTTGGTCTGTAGTAGGGCGTTTACTCTGTATAGTTAAGCTCCTCCGATGATTCTGAAACACTATCCACACCAAGAAAAAGGTCTTAGATGCAGAAGGAAGGTGCGGATATGTTGGACAGGGTCAAGTCTGAAGGTGGACAAAACGATGCACCGGCAACAGTTTGACAGGCAGAAGCTCAGAGGCAGCAGGGTCCATGGACAGTCTTGAGAATGGTGATGCCACGTTCTGGCTCAAACACATGTCATTATGGAAACATGGAAGACAATTTTTTGTATTACCGCTGTCTCCTACACCCTTTCGGGTCCTGGTCACTCACGCCCACGCAGCACAGTGGACCCAACAGATAATGCTGTTTCCAACCTTTCTTCTCTTCCTGTTCTAAGTAAAAGAACTAGGCAATTGTCACGACAGGTTGCAATTGCCTACAAAATAAAATCCAAAGATTTAAGCCTGTTTTTCAAAATTCAAACTACACTTCTACCCCCAACTGCTCTGAGCTTTTTGCTTTTTAGAAAATGCTGTCATGTTCAGTCACTGATGTTTGTTCATTTCTTTTCCACCATGTTTCCCTTTTGCTCATACAAGGCCATAGTGGTTGGGGAGCAGGTCAATGTAGCCCTGTATTTTGCCACTATTATTCCAGATAGGAGCGAATTTTGGTATTATTAGAGTGACTTGAAAATCAGTCCGTCGGTCAAATTGACCGAGACTTCTTGAGATTTCCCCGCCGCTCCGTGCACGTCTTTATTACTCCTTTGAAGTTTTCCTACGTTCACTGGTATGTGTTTCACTAGAACACCCATGACAATGAGAAGAGAAAACGGACAAGTACCTCTTCGTTGATTCTAAAAGTAAATTAACCACACACCTCCCTCTGACTTTACTAACGTTGTTCTCATGTTCTCTCAGGCCTCAGGACAATTTAATGGAAAGGCCTGAGTTTTGGTATCCAAGTCTGCTGTACATGTGAATCACCTGGGAAGTTTCTAAAATTTCAGATTTCAAAGAAAATGTAGGCAACAAAATTTCGGACATCATACGCAGCAGAATTTTCACTGATACATCACCTACGGCAACAGAAACAAAGGAAAAAATGAACACATAGGATTACATCAAACTAAAAAGCTTCTGCACAGCAAAAGAAACAACCATCAAAATGGAAAGGCAACCCACTGTATGGGAGAACATCACTGCCAATGATACATCAGATGTGGGATTAATTTCCAAAATATATAGAGTACTCGTACAACTCAACAAAAGGAAGATAAAAAACTCAATTAAAAAATGGGGAGAGGAGCTAGACAGACACCTCTCCAAACAGGACATACAAATGGCAAAGAGACATATGAAGAAATGCTCAACATCACTAATCATCAGAGAGATGCAAATTAAAACAACAATGAGGTATCACCTCACACCTGTCAGAATGGCTGCCATCAACAAATCGTCAAACAAGTGTTGACGAGGGTATGGAGAAAAGGGGACTCTAGTGCACTGCTGGTGGGAATGCAGACTGGTGCAGCCACTATGGAAAACAATATGGTGTTACCTCAAAAAATTAAAAATTGAACTGCCATTTGACCCAGTGATCCTGCTTCTAGGAATATACCCTAAGAAGCCTGAAACACCAATCAGAAAGAATATATGTACCCCCATGTTCATAGTAGCACAATTTACAATAGCTAAGATCTGGAAACAGCCCAAGTGTCCATCAGTAGAGGAATGGATAAAAAAGTAGTGGTACATATATACAATGGAGTACTATGCAACTGTAAGAAAGAAAGATCTCTTATCCTTTGAGACAACATGGAGGGACCTGGAGAGTATTATCCTAAGCGAAACAAGCCAAGCAGAAAAAGACAAATATCATATGATCTCACTTATATATGGAATATAATGAAGATAACAGTCTGAGGAATAGGGTAGACCCAGAAACATGGAAGTAGGGTACAGACTGACAACCCTCAGAAGAGGGGGTGGTGGTGGGTGGGAAGAGATAAACCACAGAATTTATATGCATGTACGCATAACCAAGGGACATGGACAACAAAGCCGGGGACGGGGGGGGGGAGGGGAGGAGGGTGTCAATGGGGTAAAAAAGGAGAAACATCTGTAACAAAAATAAAATTAAAAATAAATAAATAAATAAAATTTCAGATTTCTGGATTCTATCTCAGTCAGAGTCGATCTGAATCTCTGATGGGCTAGAAACCATTTTCTTAGGGGTGACAATTATGGAATATGTAGAATGCCCTCACACATGATGTGCACGCTAGCGTCTAAATAGGAAAGTCATATCTGCAACTTATTATCAAACGTTACAGCACAAGGAATGCTTACACACATGAAAAAGAGGGGGAGAGTGTGAGAGCAGAGTGGCAGGAAGCAGGGACTTCTCCCCATGGTGCCAGTCTCCTTTTTGCAAGTCAGCGGACGGTTTCTCCTCGGTTCAGGGCACAGATACATGAGGCCGCCGGCACCTGGTGCTGTGAGCACACAATCAGCATCGGTGATGGGGAGGGTAACGCTGTGCCTCCTTCGATAGCTCAGTTGGTAGAGCGGAGGACTGTAGTGGAAGTTCCCAGTCATCCTTAGGTCGCTGGTTCGAATCCGGCTCGAAGGAGTCGACGTTTTGTGTCCTTTTTTCGTCCCCGGTCCATTTCAGCTCTCGAAATCGTGGACGGGTTTCTATTTAAGATGATCTTAAGCGAATCTATATGTTTTTATATCATTATTTTCTGTAACCATGACTTATATGCGCGATCAGACCTCTTGGTTTGCACAGAGCCGGTGACCCAGGCAATCAGAGGCGGCCCAACGGGTGGGGGTCCAGAGCCGCGAATCCGCGTTCTTCTCCCCCGCCGCACCCAGCGACCCTGAACCGGGGGGAGGGGCCGGGCGAACCCTTCGACCGCGGGGAACTAGTAGAGCAAGCGCGCCCCCTGCTGGCCCGCGAGTCCTGAACCTCGGGAAGGATTTCCCCGGTGATGCCCACAGCCCCGCCTGTTGGTAGAAACTGGGGCACTACGCCCACTGCTCCCTTTATGTAATGGCGGTTCTCAGTCCTGGCTGAGAACGGTTGGTGGACACCAGAATCGCCTGGGGAGATTTTACAAAGCGCCCCTGTTCAGGCCACTTTGCAGGTAGGCCCCCCGCGTTGGTAGTTTTCAAAACCCCCAGGTGATTTTTTAAAGTGCTGCAGGGTTTGAGGCCCACTGCTACAAGACATTTTAGAAGAAAAAATAAAGAGAAAAATGAGTATGATTTTCTACCCGCTTTGGGAATTACAAGGTAGAGATCTCTACAATAGAAAGCACTTCATAATTTTGTGCCAATCTCATGTATACTGTCTCAAAAATGATCCCCAATAACTATTGAAGAACCTTCACCTACAAAGATATTAGATGAAGGAAAGGGAGAATTGCCTGAAGATTTCGTGTTTGGCAGTGTTTTCTATCTTTGTTCTCACGCTTTGGCACTTTCATTCAAACTTGCAAACATAAGAGACATCCCAGAAAGTAGACCCTTGCCTATCCTATCCTGAAGATAAGGTAACCACCAGTATGTGGCTCTGGGCGTGATGGCCATCCCTGTCATGAAATGGGCAATGAGAAGTCCGGAACCCCGACCAGGGGATGTTAGCTGAGAACGCTTTAGCAACGTTACTGGTAAAACTGTAGAATACAGCCATGGATCCCGCCACCTCTCACTTGCGAGGCGACCGCTCTATTTAATTCCTCGCCCTCGGCACGCTGCTGCCCCTTCCTTACCCACCTCAATATTTACAAAGAATTCAGAATTTTCGGATACAAGTTGTAGTTGACCTATCAGTCAATACGACTAAGAGCGGGACTGCACATCAATGGTGAACAAACAGCCCCAGGACGAATTCAGGCCCCCAGCGCTACCTGTAACATGCTACACGGAGCTAGATCCTGTCTGGAGATATCCTCAGAGCACAGGCAGACCGAGAGTGGAGTTAGCTCAGAAACTGGACGCCAGTTTAACACTGAAATCCACCTGTGGAAGCAGGGAGCCGGAAGGAAAGCGCAGGTGCATCCGGGAGAGAAAATCAAGTTTCTCAAGCCATATAAAGGCTCTCACCCAGCGTCTATATCTTCAGCCACTGTTTCTCATATTGCACCATTAGAAACTTCCCCCTTTAAGTTTACTGTTATTTTCTAATCTTGTTGAAATTGGAGCAAGAGGATCAAAATTAAAGTGGAGATGGTGGAACATCTTATTTAAGAAAGGGACTCTGTCCCTATGCTCTGCAAGGCATGCAGGGAGCACCTTCCCAGATCCTTACAACGTCCTAATGCTTATTTTTATTTCTGCTTTTTTATTGCAATCAGAGCTGACTAAAAGTGGATAACTTTCTGTGGGAAGAACACACCGCTCTCACCCCTCATCTTAGACAAGAGAGTTCAGAACTTGGGTGTTTTCTCAAAGAGCCTCAATGTCAGCCTTGCCTTGATTCTCACCATCACCTGGGTGCTTTCTCCACTCTTCTCTGGTCAGTATTTACCCAGCCACAAAACTCAGTTTGGCCTCTGCCTGTTTATTTTCATGGTTCCATTAGGAGTGCAGGTGTAGAATTGGAATGAAAGTAGAGGCCCCATCCCATCGCTCAGATCCACGGAGCTTTATCATGGCTGACTGAACTGAGTGATGCGTTTGGTCCGGATCCCACCGTATGAGGTCTTCACTCCCCAGTCCCAGAGAACATAATGGGCATTGACATTTTACAAAGTCAGACTTTGCAAACCTCTACCGGGGAATTCAGCCTCCAAATACGAGTAATAAAATCAGTGCTGAGAGGCAGTGCCAACGGGGAGCCCCTTAGTTTACCTCCAGGGAAGGTAATGACAGGCAATAACTTTTACTGGGAAGACACAAGGAACCGGGAAACGGTTCAGGAACGCCATCATGTGGGCATCGGTGCACTCTGCACACATCCCCTTTAACAGCCCAGTGTGGCGGGTAAGAAAGCCGGAGGCTCCTGGAGAATGACAGTGGACTGCAGAGAACTGAATAAGGTGGTGCCTGCTATTCATGCAGCCGTGCCTACACTGTCATCACAGAAGACACTCCAGCCACTCCCAAGTCCTGCAAAAGCCTTTGGTATCGCGCCATTTTACGTCGCATATGGCGTTCTGCAGGGTGTATTACATTTAGGAATCGGCTTTCTCCGGTGCGCCGCTTCCGGTCAGCCTCTCTAGCCCAGAAGTCAGGCTAATGTCGCTTTTCTGAGCCTCTGATTTGCTCTGTCGGTTTCAATCTCTCGCTGACTGGGGTCGCACTTCCGCCCCCTGCTTTAGGCCTGAAATTTTCATTGGTCGGCACCCACGTAGGCCCCGCCTCTCGCCCCAGGCGTCGCACGCAGCGCGCGTCACAGGGCGCGGCGTTTTTCGGCTGTCGTGCTTCACGTTTCGTCAAACATGGAGGCAGAGGAATTGGAAAAGGAAGCCTCAGAGCAGGAACCTCTGGAAGGGAGAGACCGGGAACTAGAGGCGGAGGAGGAACAGGAGGACTCTGAAGAGGCGGCTGGCGGTGCCAAGAAGCGAGTGGTGCCAGGCATTGTGTACCTGGGCCACATCCCGCCTCGCTTTCGGCCTCTGCACCTACGGAACCTTCTCAGCGCCTACGGTGAGGTGGGGCGCGTCTTCTTCCAGCCGGAAGGTAAGTGCTTGGGTCCGAGACGCTGGGGGATAAGTCCGTAATGTGTGCAGGTCTCGTAGGGGCCTGGGTGGGGCGGTAGCCTTGTAGGCCTATCCTCCGAGAGCTGATTTGGATTTCAGTCTTGCCTCCTCTCACCGCTCTTTTCTGGTCTGAATTTGCTGGTTCGTAAATGAGTACTCCCTGAATAAAACCCAGTGGCTTTGTACAAAACTGAAGACATTCCTTTGTCATTGGGAGCCAGGTGAAGAGACAGTACCCCCCCCCCCCAACTCCCCAGCAGGCACTAATTGGAATCGGCGTTGGGGCCTTTGTGGGTTTTAAATAGAACATTTAGAGCAGACCTAATTAAGGAGTGTTAACCCCCCAAATTAAAGGCCTTTTAAAGTGAGAAGCAACAAGCATTTATTTGGGATCAATAAGAACAGCTATTTGGAAAGCACTGAGTCAGGCAGAAGCCCAAATAGTGTTCTCATTAGGAGACAAACACAAGGGGTATTTATGAGGCAGAGAAAGGACAATTTCATCAGTAGAAGAGAGGCATTACTATTGGTGCAGATAACATGACATCGTGATGATAATTCTGAACGATGCTTTTAATTTTCAGTCCAGTAGTAATTATATTTGCTTACTTGTTAACTTTGCACATAATTTTTTGGGGCACAAAGTTGTTTTAGGCCCAGCCCACAGGTTATTTTTCCCTCTTTAAACATCCAAAGGTTTGAGGCATAAATGTGCAAAGTAGTTCCTTTGGGATGTCAGCTCCAGCTCCAGTTTAAGGTGGCGCCCTTTATATTTTGATAGGAGTTGACACTGAGGAAGGATTGAGTTAGATGTAAGGAGAAAGAGTGTGGACTTTGTAGTTCTCAACTTCCTTTCTGCCAAAGACCTTGAGGTGGGATCCTGGCTCGTGGGCAGGTTTTCAGAACGCGGCATGTGGGTGATGCAGTGAGTGGGTGCTGGTCTATCTTTATGACCACTGTTCTGTCTTTGGCACACAGATGGATTTGTGCGGCGCAAGAAGAAGGCAGCAGCAGCCTCGGCCACCGGAGGGAAAAAGCAGTCCAAGTATAGCAAGGACTACACGGAGGGCTGGGTAGAGTTCCGGGACAAGCGAGTAGCCAAGCGTGTGGCTGCTAGTCTGCACAACACGCCCATGGGTTCCCGCAGGCGCAGCCCCTTCCGTTACGACTTATGGAACCTCAAGGTGAGGGGTAGGCTTGTCAGCAACGTCTCTCAGCCTCCTACCTTCCCAGCCCCATCCCTGGCACCTATGTGACCTCTTGTTGGCCCTGCCCCTTTCCATCTTCTCTCATTCAAAGACCTGTCCTACCTAGATCTGTTTTTGTTTTTCTGTCTGCAGTATCTGCATCGTTTCACCTGGTCCCACCTCAGCGAGCATCTTGCTTTTGAGCGCCAGGTGCGCAGGCAGCGCTTGAGAGCTGAGGTTGCCCAGGCCAAGCGTGAGACTGACTTCTATCTTCGAAGTGTGGAGCGGGGGAAGCACTTCCTTGCTGCTGATGGGGACTCTTCCCGCCCAAATGGCTCTTGGGCCTTTGCCCAGCGTCCTACTGAACAAGAACTGAGGGCCCGGAAGGCAGCTCATCCAGGGGGTCGTGTACGGGCTCGCCTGGCCCATGCTCAAGACCAGGCCCGCTCCAACCGAGGACTCCTTGCCAGGATCTTTGGAGGCCCACCACCCTCAGAGAGCATGAGGGACCCCAAGATGTTCAGGGATTCATAAGGGGCAGGGAGTCCCCTCCACCTCCTAGCTCAGGCCAGAGTTCTGTCTACCTGATAATGACTATTCAGGCAGTTTGTTTCTCAGACCAGGAGTCTCTGGTGAGTGTCTAGAGGTGGATCTCTCTCCCCTGCCCAACTCCTGCAAATGTCTGGCTAAGCGCCTAACTCATGTTGGTAGTAGATGCCTGTTCTGTCTTATCTGATTCTTGGCTGCCTACCTCCAGCCCTCTGGGGCCTTCTAAAAATCCCACTTCCTGGGCCCAGGAAGAGCCTTATATTGAGCTAGAATGATAATGGCTATTCCAGGCAGGTGTTTACCAATCACAGGTATGAGCAGCAGCCATATCCTTTTCATTTAGAAAAGATTAACAGGGATGGGGTTAAAGGGGTGGGACTAGCTTGGGAACCACCTTCCAAGTGTATAGAAAAAATATATATATATAAAAAATATAAATACATTACAACTTTGTAGTTTTGCTTGGCAGGGTGTTGGATAAGTTACAACTTCTGTCTCCTGTGTCCCATTTCCTCATCTTCACTCCATCTGGTCTGGTCTCAGAACCCATTTAACCTGCACCTTTTCTATTTTTTTAGCCCATTTATCAACTATTTGTTTAATTCATTATTTACTAAGTCACTATATGAGGATGTGAGTAACAGTACATAACAACACATGGTCCCTGGCATTAAGGATCTCATAGACCACTAGGACAAGGGAGATATGTAAGGAATAAATGCACAGAGGTGCTTCAGGCATCACGATGTATGTGTGGTATGTAAGGGGTAGAGGGGCCGCGGGAGGGCATGGTGACACTGTCTGGAAGGCTCTTAACCTCTGGAGCTGATTCCTGATCACAGTCTGAAGAGATGGGGTCATTTTTAACTTTTCCAGATTGTTCCTGAAAGGTGAACAGAAGTCTAGAAGAGCCCAGTGAACTACAGTGGCAAACAAAGCTCCCAGGGTGAAGTGTTGGGTTGAAACTATTGCAAAGGTCGGCAAAACCTAGGAGGTAGTGGGCACAGTGATTCCCCTCAGGTGCACCTCTGTGTTGGGGCTAAGACGGACAGCATGCAGAGCAGCCCCAGAGGCGATCAGTGTAAACCAAGGACTGGAAACCGTACTGAGAAGTCTGCACACAGCCTCAGAGATTGACAATCAGAACCCAGGTATCAAAGCTGGATAAATAAAGAGGTGGAAGATGAAGTTTAACTAAATGTAATATTCTACACGATAAAAACCCTTAGTAATACAATGATAAAAATGTTTCTTCTACCAAATAAGGGGCATCCAGGAAGATCTTAATACAAATCTCAATTTTAATTATGAAACATTTAAAATATTCTAATTAAAATCAGTATGAATGAAGGTATGTTGTTACCACCACTATTCATATATTGTCCAAAAATCCTGGTGATAGAGACAAAAATCAAGTGGAAAAAGAAAATTGACATTATTTGTAGGTAACATAATTTCAACATGTCTCCATAAAATTGGTTTCATTGCTGATTTGAGCATGATACTGTATATAAAAATAAATAGCACCCTGCCTGATACACCCAATAAAGACACCACAGATATGAAAGACAGTGCATTAAAGTAGGAATACATGTGGGCAATAAACATAAAAGACGTTTTGTCTCATTACTAAGAACACAACTACACAGGGATGGGTAAGTATTCTCTGCAGTTTGTATTGACATACATCAACTCAAATTTCTACCAATAAGGGCACAGGTAGGTAAGTTGATGTTATATAGGGGAATACTTACAAGTGTTTAGAAGTTCACATGAATGAACTTAAACAGGTTAATTAAAAACCGAAAAATGCAAGTTTAAGCATTCTACGGAGAGGATAGTATCAAGCAAACATTTATTCATGTTGCCCTGGCTGGTTTAGCTTAGCGGTTAGATGTGTCTCACACTGAAATTTCTCTCCCTCCCATTCTCTAAAACTCAATGGAAAAAAATATCCTCTGGTGAGGTTAACCGCCCCCTCCCCCCAAATTTCCTGTCATATGATTTTTATACATACATATTTATCAAAATAGACCATTCCTAGGAATGGTGACCAGAATGGCAAGAAAGGTGAGTGATGTGACTGGAGAGTTACATGGGGGGCATCAACTCTAGCTGAAATTAATTTTCATTAAAAATGGGAGAAAGCCTTGGCCAGGTAGCTCAGTTGGTTAGAGGATCCTCCCAAGAGGCCAAGGTTTTGAGTTCAGCCCCTTCAGGGCACGTACAAGAATTGACCCAATGAGTGCATAAATAAGTGAAACAACAAATGTTTCTCCCTCTCTCAATCATTTTTTTTAATGTGGGGAAAAAAGGTCTCACCGTAGGTGTTTTCATGTTCTCATACTGATGCAATAGTACTAGCACCTGCCCGGGCAGTGGAGCAGGGGAAAGTGTAGCTGAGCATAATTGAGCTGCTCTAGAGGCCAATATTCTAGGTTTCGTTCTCTCAGAAACCTGCATGTGTTTAACATCTGTGATTAACAAGGGTACTAGATTCCACATGGGTCATTAATGGAGCATTAGTTGTTACTGAATTTTGGCCAAAATGGTCAGATAAAACTGTTAACTGCTCCCTGTGCTGTTTATATCATGCAGTGCAAAGACTCCAAAAGGGCCCACTGCCCAGAGAGCACAGACCACACTTCTTCCAGGTTTCACTAACTCTTGGCCTTCGTACCAGAAACTCCTAGAATTCTAGAGATTGTCCAGTGACTGTCACGATCACCAGAACTCGGCCACATGAATGTCCACTTGAGTATTTTTTTCCTTCAGCTTTATTGCGGTATAATTGACAAAACTGTAAGATATTTAAGAGCATTGTGCTAAATTGTATGACATATTGTGAAAGGATTCATGAATATGTGCTTTATTCTAATGCAAATGTAGGAGAAAGCTTTTTTCTTAGTACAACAGAGACAAAATGGAGTTTTTCAGAACATGTTTATTTAAGAACCAAGGGAAAATAAAAACATTAAAGCATGGGAATACATGGAATACAAGTGTCTCGTTTGGTCTGAAATGTTGAAAGTTACTCTAACTACTTACCTGAGGTAGATCTAGGTTGGCATTGTTTCAAGAGAACCTCCATCCATCCCAGAAGTTACCTTCTAGTTTTGGTTACAGGCTCCCAAGTGGTCCTCTCCAACCTCAGGTTACGCTATCAGAATAATACCATCACCTTTTCCCCATGGTTAAAAGACCTAGGACCTTTTCATTCCCACAAAGTTCTGCGAGGGATGGTCCATCTTTAATTGAAGACTAGAGACAGTTACCAGTGAGATTAACTGAAAGAAGGGTCAAGTCATTACCCTGCCAATGATACCAACTCTGTCCCCTTCTGCAAGTTCTCTCTAATGACTAACAAGTAGCCACAGGACTAATTTCAACACCACCAAATGCCATACACCCATACTATTTTAGTGTTACAATTACCAAACATATACTAGCCATAGGCATCATTTCCCCCCCAAAGAAAAACAAATATATCTTGTATGTACCATACTGGGCAATTTTTCATGGTATAAGAACTATTTATGAAAACAAACATCAGATTGAACCACCTTCCAGGATCTGTTTGCTAAAAGAAAAAACACCCTAGAATCAGATTCCTTACTATCACAATGAACTATACCCACTGACCATAAGACTATCATCAGCCAGTCACTAGGATCACAGCTTAGAGCCACACACAAAGCAGCCGCTGGCCACCTCCATGAGTCCGAGGCCAACAATCCTGAGTTCAACCAAGGATTCGCTCCGATCAACCAGACAAGCAACACGATACTTATTCACCAGTCTAGTCCCAAACACTGCGTGAATCTTAAATATTTTTATTAATCTGAGGGGGAAAAATCCTCAGAAGTGTCCATTTACCGATTCCTGGATTAATTACAGTACTTCTGGAGAATGTTAACTATAATAATTATTCTGTTAAACTGGAGATAAGTACTCATCCTCAAACTTCTGATGAATTTGGCAACTACTTTTCCCTTCAAGCATTTAGAATCCTAGATTTCAAATCAAATAAATACCTTATATTGTGGTGATTATAATCCTTTCCCTGGGAATAAAAAGTATTCTCTCTTTTCTTAGCAGTACTGTAATAAATGAAAGGCATATCATTATGGGACTGAATTTGCTATAAACAGCAGGATAATGAAGTAAAAACTCCAGCTTTGGAGTCAGGATAGTCAAAACCAAGAAGCAAGGCTCCTCCATTAACAGCACAGTGTGTTACTCTACTGCGAAGGCCTAACCTTTCTTCCAGTCTTCACTCAGACATTCTGCACAGAGCTGATGAGGATATATTATCATTGGCATGAAGTCACAAAAATGTGGACACCAGCAACATCATAACTGTTATCTTGGAATCTGCATTTCTGAGTTGAAGAGATGAATCTCTAGAGCAGAAATTTCAAATACCAGTGATACTCAAACATTTTAGGGAAAGGAAACTTCGAGGGTATGCCTCAACCCACACCAAGTAAAACGCTGGGTATTTTGCATCTTTATAGGTTGGCCTTCCAAAGGGGAAACTTGGGAGTTCAGAACCAGGATAATTCCTCCCTACTGCTTAGTTCTTTTGACTAACAGCAAGTTTTCCAAGCTACCATCAAAACACCAGTCCCCAATCTGGCCAAGAATTTAAAATAACAAATTAAAAATCAAGAGGCAAAGTCAGTATTCTCCTTTCCCCAGGAGTAACACATGCCACACCGTCTTATCACAAGGGCACAGTCCTTTCCTTTATTGGATTTCCAAATTAAAAAAAAAAAGTAAAGCAATCATCAATTAAGTGGTTCCGATAAAAGAAAAGCATCTTTACCTGAGTTTCCCATCAGTCTGCTCTGACCTGCCCGAGCTCCTCCCACAAGCTTCTGGGTGTCTAACAAATGTTTACATACTCATTAAAGTCACCTCCACCCTACGGGTCAGCTAACTATGAGCACGGTTATTCTCATACCTAGTATATGTACACAGTCCACAATTAGATGTCTCACTAGAGCAAAATTCTCTGCAGAGTAGGTTCTTTGGGGCCCAAAGGTAGAGGTTTCTAGGAAGGCTTTTATCAGACTCAAGGTATTTATGGGCTTTTCCACTCGTGTGAGTTCCCTGGTGTTCCCAAAGACCTGATCATTGACAGCTTTTCTCACTCAGACTTCATAAGGTCTCTTTGCAGATTGTTTTGTAGTTGTTGCAAACCAAGAAGAATCCATCTAATTCTTTTGCCACACTCAAGACAAATACCTAACTTTTCACCAGTATGGCTTCTTTAATGGTTAAGAAAGTTATAGTTCTGTTGGAAGCTTTTTTTTTTTCACTTGCTGGGGTTTCTCCCGAGTGTGGGCTTTCTGATGTCCAGCGAGCTTGTGCGTACTGTCTGAAGCGCTGTTCACACCAAGGGCATTGTCTTCTGGTGCAAATTCCCTAGGAAGGAGAGGAGTGAGCACTGCTCGGAAGCTCTCTGCACCTGCAAGGTTTCCCACCGGTACAAGTCCCCTTGTGGGTGATCAGATGTGAGCTCAAACTAAAGGTTTTCCAAACCTCAAGGCCTCTGAAGGTTTCTCGGAGTGAATGATAGGTATTCTGTTAAGACAGCTCTCTGGACAAACCATTTCACAACATCCTACAATTGCAGATTCTCTGGTCCCCACTCAAGTCTGAGCTCTTAGAAAAATCTAAGATTTGCCTAGAGTTTTTTCATCTTAATGAGCTCTCTGACTCATATATTTTTTTATGGTGTTATAATTTCTTGTCTGGCCAAGACGGTTGTGATGCTTCTGATGCACGCGGAGGAGTGAACTCATGCCCTTTCTCACCCACATTGCAGATATATGGTTTTTCACCAATGTGGACTGTCTGATGTTGAAGGAGGGCTGAGCTCTGGCGGAAGCCTTTATCACACACACTGTATTGATAATGCAGCTCCTCTGTTTGAGTTCTCATTTTCGGTTGTGCAACAAAGCCCATGCCTAGGAGGAAGCCACTCTCACATGCAGACCACTGACGTGGTTTCTCTTCCATGTGAATTCTTTGATGCACAATAAGGTCTGAGCCACAGCTGAAACTTTTCTCATATTCAAGGCATTTAAAAGTGTGCGTGTGAGTTGCCTGGTGCCTGATTAGGTTGGCACTCCGAGTAAAACTTCTCATACATTCCAAGCATTTATAGGGCTTCTCCCCTGTATGGACTCTCTGGTGAACAATAAGGTCTGATTTCTGGCCAAAGCATTTCTCACAGGCACCACACTTATAGGGTTTCTCTCCAGTATGAACTCTTTTATGAACAATGAAGGCTGAACGGTGTCGATAACTTTTCTCACACTTATTACATTTGTAGGGCCTTTCACCAGTGTGAGTTCTCTGGTGGCTAATGAGATCCGATTTCCCACTAAAAGCTTTTTCACACTCCAGACACTTAAATGGTTTCTCGCCAGTGTGAGTTCTTCGGTGCCGAATGAGGTTTGTACTTCGACTGAAGCATTTATCACACTCACTGCACAGATATGGTTTCTCACCTGTGTGGCTTCGCTGGTGGACAAGCAGATCAGAGCTCTGTCCAAAATTCTTGCCACAAATGTCACACGTATAGAATTTTTTACCTGCGTGTGTTCTCTGGTGTCCTGAAAGGGCTAAGTGGTGCCAGAAGCTCTTCTCGCATTTGCTACATTTATAAGGTTTCTCATAATTGTGGATCCTCTGGTGTGAAGTGAGATCTGAGCGCTGGATGAAGGTTTTCTCACACATATCACATTGATAAGGTTTCTCTCCAGTGTAGGTTCTCTCACACATAATAAGAGCTAAGTTCTCACAGAGGTTTTTCTCACGTTCAAGGCACTGGTATAGTTGATCATCTATTTGAGTAATCTCATGCACATGAATGAAAATCTTTTGACCCTTCTGAGGGCATACATGATATATTTTCCTTCTCCGAGTTCTCTGATTAGCTCTCTTTTCTGAAGTGCACATTTCTATGGCTCTCTTCTAGGGAGTTTTCCACTGGTCGTCTTGACCCATCTTCTTCTTCATTGTCGTTTTCCTGATAAGAACTTGAACGATACACCTGTTTTAGGCCTTTGAGTTATGAACTGTTCATCTCTAAAAGTTTCCAGCATCATATATACTAATTCTTTACTCAGCATTTCCAACACTGTGAGACAAAGAAGAAATATTATTTATATTCCTATAACTAAGAAAAGAATGCTCAAAATTAAAACCACTGTAGAAAAGACAGAATTCTGCATCAGGGTCCCTAAGTGCCTTGGTTTTTCAGGGACTGAAATCAATTAGTTTCTCTCTCTGCCAAGATCAAGCCAATCGGCAATTCATATGGAAAGTTCTAGGGATAATTATTTCCTTCACTGACCTGGGTGATCTCAAACCCAGGTTCTTCCTCTTCCCGTCACTCTGGCTAAGTAGTGCCTGCCCCAGCATTCCCTGCCCCGTTTGCTGCTATTTTTCTCCACACCATGTATCACCCAATCCAGTGCCATATGTAATTGCTGTCTACAGCTGGAATATGGCATGATGTCTGTTTTGATTGCTGCTCTTTCCCTAGTACACAGAGCAGTTCAGGTATATAGTTGGTGCTTAATAAGCAGTGTATTGCAGTTCTACTTCTGTCTTTATCAGGTAAAGAACAGGGGCTGAATGCCACAAAGTGGGAGCTGGTCTGATGAGATGTAATTTAGAAGAAAGAGGTACATTTCAAAAGACTGAGGAAACTGGAGCTCACCTAGAATGTAAATGGAGGAAAAGCAGCATTTATTTCCTGGTCCTGAGAATGTGATTTCTCAAGGAAGATCCAATTCTGTAAAACAGAAGGACAAGAAAAGGATAAATAGTCATAAATGAGAGGATTTAGCACTACTACATCATTTCACTCAAACAACTTGAAAACAGGTGAAGTTCCCTTAAAAAGAGCAGATGGGTTTTCTTATACAATCCCTGCCATCCTATATGACTCTGAAGAAAAAGGACAAGAAAGAATCTATAAGCCACCCTTGGGAGTATAACAGCATTGCAGAAAAGGGCCCCTAACACCAACCTTGCTGAATCACTAAGACATCATCTTCACGCAGGAGTGCAAGCTGCCCTGGTCTGAAGTACTTCAGGGACCACAGTGTCCCTGGGGAAGACACACCTCCACCTTCACTGCAGGGCAGGTTATGGCCACCACTATGGTCACTCACAATTTAAAACAGACTAGACTAATTTATATTTCAGTCACAAACAACTCAGGATGTAGTTCACTGTGGGCATAAGGAGTTAGACCTGTCCACTGATTTCTTCCCTCAGCAGCTCTAACCTGCCTGCTCCAGGTCACCAGACTTTCAGCTCCCCCAACAACCTCTCTGCGATTGAGGACCAGAAGGAAAACCAGAGCCACTCAGATGCAGACAGCATGGGACATACATTTAGTCCATGGCCGCCATGACACGTTTCATGGTTCTGGTTCCAGGAAAGACGGAGTGAGCACATGCCAGCCGGCTATCCCATAAAGCTCAACTCTGAACCCTGCATGGAAGGTATGGAGCAATGGTGGGGACTCTGAATCAGAGTCAAGAGCACTAAGATAATAGGATCATGGGAGCACAACCCAACCTGAAGTGAGTTAACTATTTTTCTGTCCTCTTATGTATCCGCTGGCCTGAACTCAATACAGGTCGAATTGCAGAAGTTGCAGTAAAATAATTCAGCTGGGATTTTTCAGAAAACCTATGCTATGGGCTTCCATGCCAGTGACTTCAAACTGACTTCAGCCCAGCCGGTGTGGCTCAGTGGGTGAGCGTTGACCCATGCACCAAGAGGTCACCAGTTCAATTCCTGTTCAGGGCACATGCCCAGATTGTGGGCCAAATCCCCAGTGGGGAACATGCAGGAGGTGGCCAATCAATGTTCTCTCTCATCGATGTTTCTATCTCTCTCTCTCTCTCTCCCCCTTCCTCTGTCTCCAAAATCAATTAAAAAAAACAAAACAAAACTGACTTTAGTCAGCAGACAGAAAACAAAACAGAGCAGAGCTGCCAGTGGCAGAACTCATCTAAAGCTCAGTCTCAAAAAGAGAAAACCCACTCTAAGTACAAATTAATTTTTAAAGAGTTCTGATCAAAGCAGGATACAAGGAAGAGACTTAGCATGCACACAGAGGAGGGGCTCCTGGAATCACAAGTCTTAGGAAAGAGGAGAGTAGACAGGAAAGTGGAGGAACCCTGTGCACCTCAGAGCCAAGGAGAAAAGGAACAAAGGGAAATGTAAGGTCCTTTAAGATGGAGGAAAATTTAAAAATGCACAATCTAACTTCCCAGTCTTCTAGAAATGCCATCCAGTTTTGTTTTTTTTTTCCTATCCTCACCGAATATATTTTTCTATTTTTTGTTCAGATAGAGTGGAAGAAAGGGAGAGGGAGAGGGAGAGGAAGAGGGAGAGGGAGAGGGAGAGGGAGAGGGAGAGGGAGAGGGAGAGGAAGAGGGAGAGGGAGAGGGAGAGGGAGAGGGAGAGGGAGAGGGAGAGGGAGAGGGAGAGGGAGAGGGAGAGGGAGAGGGAGAGGGAGAGGGAGAGACAGAGAGAGAGAGAGAGAGAGAGAGAAACATCTAAGTGAAAGGGACACATCGAGTGGCTGCCTCCTGCACAACCCAACCAGGGCCAGGGACAAACTGCAAACGAGGTCCATGCCCTTAGCAGGAACCGAACCTGGGTCTCTCTGGACCACAGGCTGACACTCTAACCGCTCAGTCAAACCAGCCAGGGCGCCATCTACTCTTAAAACAAAACCAAATTTTTACCACAACAGCAAAGTGGTAATATGCTGCTGAATTAGCTATCGTGTAAAATAGTTTATGTTCTAATAAAATCAAAACAATTCAACTAGAAAGGGAAAAGTAAGAGGAATAAAACAGTGAAATAACCTCACTGATCACTGCATTAATGGCAGGTTAAAGAACACCATTAAAAACTGGAAAAACAGATAATTAAAGGTTAAATAAGAAAACGGGACTCAAGGCATTAAAAAAGGTCTAAGTACAAAGGTAACCATTACAACAAAAATCAAACATTCTAAAAAAAATTTAAATGAAAACACATCATGTAGGAAAAAACAGGACAAATAGTAGATAAAAAATATGGCAGTGATGAGACCAAACGTATCTATCACATCAATAAATGTAAAAGAGTTGAACTCACCTATTAAAAGTGATTTCTACCATAGCTTACAAAGCAAGACCCAATGTGCTAAATACACGACACCTAAAACAAAGTGGTTCAGAAAGGCTGAAAATAAAGGGATGAAAAAGGAACACTATGCAAGGGATGAGAAAGGAACACGATGAGAAATAATAAAAGTAGGGCTTCTATTCACAATATCAAGCAAAGTGGAATGAAAGCCAAATACCAAACCACCCTCCTACGAGGAAGAATCAACTATTAAAACAGCTCTTCAGCATAATTGCCAATGAACATCAGATAAGGGGTTAATTTCCAAACTATATAGAGTGCTCATACAACTCAACAAAAGGAAGACAAAAAACCCAATTAAAAAAATGGGTAGCTGCCCTGGCCAGTTTGGCTCAGCGGTTAGAGCGTCCACCTGCGGTCCGGAGAGACCTGGATTTGGTTCCCGCTAAGGGCATGTGCGTTGGTTGCAGTTTGTCCCCGGTCCTGTTTGGTCGTGCGGGTGGCAGCCACTCGATGTGTCCCTTTCACATCGATGTTTTCCTCTCTCTCTCTTCCTCTCTCTCTCCCTCCCACTCTGTCTGTACAAAAAAAAATGGAAAAATGTCCTCGGGTGAGGATAAAAAAAAAAAAAATGGGTAGAGGAGCTAAACAGACACCTCTCCAAACAGGACATACAAATGGCAAAGAGACATATGAAGAAATGCTCAACATCACTAATCATCAGAGAGATGCAAATTAAAATGACTATGAGGTATCACCTCACACTTGTCAGAATGGCCGCCATCAACAAATCATCAAACAAGTGTTGACGAGAGTGTGGAGAAAAGGGGACTCTAGTACACTGCTGGTGGGAATGCAGACTGGTGCAGCCACTATGGAAAACAATATGGTGTTACCTCAAAAAATTAAAAATTGAACTGCCATTTGACCCAGTGATCCACTTCTAGGAATATACCCTAAGAAGCCTGAAACACCAATCAGAAAGAATATATGTACCCCCATGTTCATAGCAGCACTATTTACAGTAGCTAAGATCTGGAAACAGCCCAAGTGTCCATCAGTAGACGAATGGATAAAAAAGCTGTGGCACATTTACACAATGGAGTACTATGCAGTTGTAAGAAAGAAAGATCTCGTATCCTTTGAGACGACATGGAGGGACCTGGAAAGTATCCTGAGCGAAACAAGCCAAGCAGAAAAAGACAAATATCACATGATCTCACTTATTTGTGGAATATAATGAACATAACAGTCTGAGGAACAGGGTGGACCCAGGGACATGGAATTAGGGTACAGACTGACAATCCTCAGAAGTGGGGGTGGTGGGTGGGAAGAGATAAACCACAGAACTTATATGTATTAACGCATAACCGATGGACATGGACAACAAAGACGGGTTCGGGGTGGCGGGGTGGGGAGGAGGGTGTCAACAGGGAAAAAAAAGAGAAACATCAGTAACAAAAAGAAATAAAAAAGAAATATAAAAAAAAGCTATTTAGTGAACAGAAAAATGGAAAATTAAATGAATTCCTAAATGCTAATAATTGACTATATTATATATTATGATCTGTAGGATAAATTTAAAGCAGTAGTCAAAGGAATATTTATAGTCTTAAATACTTTTTATCAATAAAAATTAAAGCCTGGCACGTGTGGCTCTGTGGATTGAGCACTGTCCCATGGACTGAGAGGCCCCATGGACTGAGAGGTCCCGGTTCCATTTCTGGTCAGAACACATGCCTGGGGTTACTGGCCAGATCCCCAGCAGGGGACATGCAGGAGGCAGCCCATTGATATTTCTCTCTCACATCAATGATTCTATCTCTCTCTCTAAAAAAACCAATAAAAGTATTTTTTTAAAAAGCCAAGATAAAGTAAATCAAAACAAATAATAAAGAATAAGGAATAAATAAACACCAGAACAGAAAAAGAACAAACAAACCCATATACACATGCCACTTTGTAGACTTCTACACAAATAAATTTGATAACCTATGAAGTGAGACTGTTTCCTTAGGAAACACAATTTACCCAAATAAACCCCACTAGATCTAGAAAGTTTTAAAACACCAATATGCACAGAATAAATAGAAAGTTATTAAGGAATTACCTTACAAAAAACACTAGACCTAGATTGTTTCATAAGGCAATTCTAATAAGCTTACAACGATGCTTCATAAATGTTTTCTAGAGCAGTAAAAATGAAGAAAAACTTCTAATTCTTTTGTGAAAAAAGTTTAACACTCATAACTAAACCTGATGAGAGTATAAAAAATTTACAGTCCAATTTCAGTATCGATGTGAAAATTACTAACAAAATCCAACACATTCTTACACAAAATGTGGCATACTTTTACACTGTTGCTTTTTAAAATTTACCATTTATCCTGGAAATAACTCCACATCAGTTGGTAAAGATTTTCTTTTTTCTCTTTCACAGCTGCATAATACCCCATTGTATGTGGATATATACCAAGTTTATTCAACCACTTTCTTACATATGGGCATTTCCGTTGTTTAAAATATTTTCAAATTACAAACATTGGTACGATGAATAATTTTATTTCATATTGTCGGAGGTTTATCTTCAGAGTCAATTTCTAGAAAATGGATCGCTGAGTCAGATGTAAAGGCATATCTATGTGTATAGAGAGGAACAAGGAGATATAATCATAAAGCAAACATAGTTAACACTTAGGAACTATGAGCAGAGAGTGTATGGGCCTTCATTGTACTATTTTACATTTTTGTAAGTCTCAAATCATTTAAAAATTATAAGGTATTTTTTTTTTATTTTTTAAAGAACATAGTAGCTGAGAGTTGGCATACTGTGTTGGTTAAAATGAAACGTTCAAACTCTGAAATCAGATTTTGGTTTAACTTCCCACTGCGCTCCTTTGTAGCTGAGAACTTGGGTAGTGACTTAATGTCCTTTGGCTTCAATTTATCCTTCAATAAAGTAGGTAAGCTACAATTACATGCCTCAAGGAGTTGCTGTGAGAACTGAGACAGTGTTAGCAGAGGGTTCAGCTCAATGTCTGGGTCTCAACAGGTGCTCAATAAATGACAGGTTCTATTATTTTGTTAATTACATCTTCACATGCACAAAAAACCCTAACATTCATTGAGTCCATCCTCTGTGCCTGTCTCTTCTGTAAAGCCTTGTTCAAAACCCATTTAAAATAATTAAAAAATAAATAATAAAATAACTCAGGAAGTTAATGACTAATATGAAGATTATGTAAAAACTACAAAAACAATTACAGATAAATGTTAAGAGGAAAAAGAACAGTCCAGAATCTCAACTAAGCAAAGGTATGCAGGCATCTAGACAAATAGTAATATAAGATGGTGGGTTTATGGGAATTTTGGTTTTAAAAATGTGTATTACTGCCCTGGCCGGTTTGCTCAGTGGTTAGAGCACTGGCCCATGGACCAAAGAGTCCTGGGTATCAATTCCGGCCAACGGCATGTATCTTGGTTTAGGTTTGTCCCCGGCCCTAGTAGGGGTTGTGTGGGTGGCAACCAACCCATGTGTCTTGCTCACTTTGATGTTTCTCTCTCTCTTTCTCTTCCTCCCTCCCCCTCTATCTGAAGATAAATGGGGGGAAAATGTGTATTACTCTTAAGGTCAAAAGAATAGAGAAGAAATATAGGGTTCTGATCTGTAAATGAATCAGAGTATTTCCTAAAGTTATCAGCCCAGGGTATATTTGCCCTAAGTAGCCAACAACTGTGGGAAACTAAGAAGAAAAAAATTGGAAATAATTTTCTTGTCCATATCTAGGTCTTGTAGATGTCAGCACCTGGAAAATAAGTCTACTTGTCAAAACTCTAAGAAGACCATACACTTTCCTAGTTCAAAATACTTTGTCTCCTATCATACTCAGAATAAATACAATTTTCACAGCTGTATAATGTGGCACCCCACCTATCTACAGCCTCACCGGCCACCTCAGAACCTTTGCACTTCCTCCTTCTACCTGGAATGCTCTTCCCTTGGGCAGCTTGCTCCTTTATCTGATTCAAATGTCTGACTGAAAATTACTTCTGCAAAAAGAAGCACACAGCCATGCCCCCTTATCCTGCTTTATTTTTCTGCAGAGCACTTACCATCACCCAATTTTGTGGTATATATTTTATATTTGTTAATTTCTTTCCCTCTTCTACTAGAATATAACTTCCACTAGGGTTAGGACTTAGTCTTTTGTTCACCGCAGTATCCCTAGCATCTAGAATACATAAGTTGAGTGGATGAAAAATATAAATGAATAAATACCAGAACAACAAAACAAGGCATCATCATCCTTGGACCCCAGCAGCAATGTAACCAGCTAAGCTAGTAGCCCTGGCTGGTTCATCTGGCAAACCTAAATGTATCCTTCAAGGTTTAGCTTCGGGGAACCCCCTTCTAGGAAGAGACTGGTTCTCTCATCCAAGGCTAGGGTCAGAGTGCACAGAATGAGCAGGCAGGCAATAAAAGTCCAAACAGCAAGTTGAGTAGAGAACATCAAAGCTCAAAGTTATCCTTACTGTTAAAGGCTATATGGGACAAGCAAATTCCATAAAGCATCATCTAAAAACCAGATCATTCTTACCCTATCAGGACCTAGGTCAGGGATTATTTTACTCATTTTCATTGATTACATGGATTGTCTCTTTTACAAGAACTCTAAAATGCTGGTGTTAATACTAGTGTTTGTACCTTACAGATAGATAGCCTGGTGATCAGGGCAGTTAAATAATTATCCAAGATGTCACAGGTAGGTAGTAGTGCCAGGATTTAAATTGCCATCTTCTGCCTCCTGAGCCTCCCTAAGCATCAGGCATACTGCCTTTTGAGGGGCTTCAAATCAATCAAGAAGCAATTACTGTAAGCCTATTGTGAATATGCATCTTGGAATGGAGTATAAAATACACTTAAATTGGTAGGATTGGACCCAGTTACATCACTCTATCTCACAAGCTAAAAAAAGACCATTCCCCTTTTCCATTTATCTTCCATTCCTTCTTGTCCTAAGTTCCCCTCTCCTCCCCCTCCAAAATCCATCACATTTATATAGAAACATACAGCCTGGTATGCCACCTGCCATAACAACAAAGACTCAAGACTGTCTTCCTTTTGACTCCAAAAGGTCTGTAGTCCATAGCTATTCACAACAGACAATTCTTCCCTCTCTTAGAGAAAGGAGGAGGAGGAGGAGGAGGAAGAGGAGGAGGGGGAGGAGGAAGAAGAAGAAGAAAGTAGCAATTTAAACATTTTGTGAAATTTGTGATTTTTCTGGAGCTGTACATCTAAATATTGGTCCCATTTTCTCCCTAGTCTGGTCGGCATCTTTCAGCCCTATCTTACCTCTTCCCACCTTTGCTTGCATTGTTTCTCCTGCAAAAATTACCTGCCACTGGTTCTTTCCCAACCAGCTCAAGACAAAATATCATGAGTCCTTCTGGATAATTATTAACTTCATAATAAAGCCTGAATCCTGTTTTGCTTAATTTTTGTCTTTCTGCTAAATGTTTTTTTGTTTGTACTATGTCAACCTCTAAGGTCAAGAACCCATTCTCCTACCACCGGTAAGTGTATATAACAGTTATATGTAATGCAGGTTTACAAAAAGGGCTATGGGGTGATAAATCAACAGATTCTCCCGCATCTAGATTCGAATGCAACATAACTAATCTCCGCATTAAAGACAGGGGGAGGGCTACATCAAAGTCCTCAGCTTCTTCCCCAACACGAAAGGCGCCAATCGCTTAGGAGAGTGCCTGGCAGTGTTCGCGGATCTGATCTACGGGGCCACCGCGCCGAGCTGCTCTTCGCTCAACTTTTCCTTGACTGCCTTTCAGTCCGGGCTCCGGGGGCCCCAGGGTCGCGGGGCGCGCGGTCCAAGGCCGCTCCCAGGGCCGAGGCCGCGGGGCTCCGGTCGGCCGCACCCCAACCCGACCCCGCAGGCCCGGCCCCCCCAAGGCCCACGACCCGTTCGCCCGCAGCCACCGCACCGCCCCGCGGCTGCCGCACTTCCGGTGACTGGCGGACACTCGGTCCGGGTTTCCCGGCAGCCACAGGCGCCGCGGCCGTGGCACGAAGGGCCCACCCTCGGGCAAGGAGGGAAAGCAAACCTGGGGCTGACGAGCGCCCGGAACAGCTCCCTCTGTGCGCCGGGCCGGGAGCTGGGGCCGGGCCCTCAGGGCGCCTCCGCACCGACCAGGCCGGCAACGCGAGCCCTTTCAGCCCGGCCGGAGGCGGCGGCGCAGCCCCGCCCCGCGGGTCACGTGGTCGCCGGCCCGCGGCGACAGTACGCCACCCCCCCGCCTCTGCGTCAAGGGGGCTGGGCCGGAAGGGGCTGGTTCGGGCCCAGGAAGGGGCGGGGCTGGGGTTCGCGCGGCCCAGGCTGCCAAGGCCCGGATGTACGAGAAGCTGGCTGTCCACTGCAGTTCCCAACTTCTGTTCTCTTTCTTAAGGGCTGTGAGAAGGAAATTGGGTGCAGACGTGGAGTCGCGCAGATGGATGCCGCCAACCCTGAGGAAAACACTCCAAGGGACCAGGAGGAAAGGGAGGATCCCAAAGTGTTAGATAGGAGGAGGATCTCAAGGTGGAGGGTTCTTACTAAATGTCATTCTTGCTAAAGGTTAAATGTACAACAGGCCCTGGCCTGCTTGGCTCAGCGGTTGGACCGCCGGCCCGCGGACCAATGAGTCGTGGGTTCGATTTCGGCCAAGGGCAGGTACCTCGTTGTGGTTGATACCGGCCCTAGTCAGGATCATGCAGGAGGCAGGCAGCCAGTTGATGTGTCTGTTGTCCCTCTCGCGTCGATGTTTCTCTCTCTCTCCCTCCCGCTCTATCTAAGGATAAATGGGGGGGGGGGGGGGGAGTGAAACAGTATATTGCAGACCTAGCTTTAATCAGATGAGTTTGACTAGAACCCAACCAGGTCTAAATGTAGCCAATTACAAGGAAGGAATCAACATGGAATTGACCAAATTGTGTGTATAATCCATGGCTAAGCCGCCCTTCTGAGAGACAGAGGGTTGGATGTGAATTCCTGTCTCTTTTACTTGCTGCAAGTAAATAAAACTATGTAATGACAACTAAGTTTTCTTCTTGAATGGAACACCCCAAGCTGTGAACCCCGAGTTTGGTAACAAAAGCACAGCAGAAGCCCAGAGTCATTGAAGGTGTGTCCATCTTTTAAAGGGAGCAGGGGTGGCCCTGTGTGGGTGAAGACCACTGCAGCCTGGGATGGGGCTGCCTGGGATGGGGCTGCTCTGGCAGGGAAGGTTTCCCACTCATTTCTGGTTATGTTTCTGGGCTGGAGTCAACTATGTTCGGGTTGCAGCAGAAAGGAGATTTCCTTTAGAGTGAAATATATACATCCCTGCTCAATTGTTAAATGAAACAGTTTTTTAAAAGGCCACAGACATCAAGGAAGAGGATAAATGCTAAGACTACAGAGGTCTAAAGCCTGGGCAAGGTGGCCAAGGATTTGGACTATGAGCAAAATACTGGGGTTAGGGAGTGGTGAGAGCATCATCTGGGTCTTTAACAGTCACATTTCAAGATTAACTAATCAGCCCTGGCTGGTTTGCGTCAGCGGTTAGAGCATCGGCCCGCAGTCCAGAGAGACCAAGGTTCTGTTCTCGCTAAGGGCACGTAGCTCGGTTACAGTTTGACACTCCATGTGTTCCTTTCACATCGATGTTTCTCTCTCTCTCCCTCCCACTTTGTCTGAGCAAAAATGGAAAAATGCCCTCGAGTGAGGATAAAAAAAAAAAGATTAATCACAGGTTCTAATTCTGGAATTCTTCAGAAGAGATGCAGATTAGTTTCATGGTAATTAAAAAGGTTTTTTTAATATGTTTTTGTTTTTATTTTGTTTTTCTTTATTGATTTTTTACAGAGAGAGGAAGGGAGAGCTAGAAACATCCATGTGAGAGAGAAACATCAATGGGCTACCTTCTGCCTGCCCCCTACTGAGGATCAAGGCGGCAACCCGGGTATGTGCCCTGGCCAGGAATCCAACCGGGACCTCTCAGTCCACAGGACATTAGAAATTGCTCAATTTACTGAGCCACACCAGCAGGGCTCATGTTAGTTTTGAAAGACAATTTAAAAGTAAAGCCAAAATACTCTATCAAGAATCTTCTTCATATTTGAAATAATAAATTTTAATAACTTTGCTTTTTTTAAATATATGTTTTTATTGATTTTTTAGAAAGGGAGGAAGGGAGAGATAGAAACATCAGTGTGAGAGAGAGAAACATTAATCAACTGCCTACACACCCCCTACTGGGGATGGAGCATGCAGCCCAGGTTTGTGCCCTGACCAGGAATCAAACCAGGACCTCTCAGTTCATGGGATGACACTCATTGTACCGAGCCACATCAGCCAGGCTTAATAACTTTACTTTTGAGTATGTCATATATTCTAGGCACTGTTTGAAAGGTTGAAGTTGGTGGTTTGAGGTGTGCGGGCATGCTAAACAGCAATCTCAGACGGTGAATAAAGAAAATTTGGTTTTATTTAAAGAAAGGGGATGGGAATATCCAAAGAGAAGGGCTACACAGCACCTAGCCATGGGGTACAGGGTCAATAATGGCAGCACTTAGGAGCTGGAGTTTCGTCCTTATATTGTTGTAACCCAGGAGAGTCATCCTCACTCAGACATCAAATAATTTTGAATATTAGGAGCTTTATTACCTGCGCAGGGACTGCAGCCAACCTACACAGAGGAGAACTGCAGCCCCGAGTTCAGGGGAAGGGTTGCTTTATAGGACAGGGGTTACTTAAGAGTTTAGCAGAGCAAGCAAGCTACGTGTACAGAAGCAGATATCAGCAGTTAGTAGCTGTACAAGTTTATTTTATATTTCTTAACATTTACTAGACCCTAGCCTTGAATGTCTCATTGCCCCGTCTGGTATCTCCTGAGTAGTTAAGCTCATGGTCAATACCCTTGTGGTCATGGCTGATGCATACCTTCCTCTTCAAGAATTTTTGCAAAAACAACTCGGGTTCAAGGAACCCAGGAGAGGTTCCTTCTTCTAGCAGATGGAGAATTACTGGGTTATAACAATATGTGTCCATTGGCAGGAAGCTTTTGTTGTCAGTGGGTTTTGGGGTCTTGGTTAGTGGGCTGGTTCTACAGCAATGCTGGTGCTTTGGCAGTTTTAGTTTCTTATATGTTTTTTTTAATCCTCACCCAAGGAGATTTTTCCATTTTTCGTTCAGACAGAGTGGGAGGGAGAGAGGAGAGAGAGAGAGAGAGAGAGAGAGAGAGAGAGAGAGAGAGAGAGAGACATCGACGTGAAAGGGACACATCGAGTGGCTGCCTCCCGCACGACCCAACCAGGGCCGGGGACAAACTGCAACCGAGGTATGCACCCTTAGTGGGAACCAAACCTGGGTGTCTTTGGACCGCTGAGCCAAACTGGCCAGGGCCCTTATATGGTTTGACACCTTGTGTCCTGCATTTCTTTTCTGACCAGTTCTCCTGTCGCAGGAAGTTTGTTCTTTGTTCTCCTGTGGTGGGGAGGCTTACAAAATGGCTGTTAGGAATTATATTGCCCTGCAAGTTCTAGCATTATTCTAATCACTTTACATGTATTCTCATTAACTTGTAACATTCTATGAGATGTGTATCATTATTTTTATCCTAGGAAAAACTGGTGCTTGGAGAGATTGAGTAATTTGTCCGAGGTCTCACATTTAGTAACAGGAAGCTGAAATATGAACAATTTTATATGAAAGCCTGTGCCTGCAACCACTACATTTAAATACCTATCTCAATAGTGGTGAGTGTATTGTGGGAAAAGTACAACAGGTCCTCAAATAATATCATTTTGTTCAACATCATTTCGTTATAATGTTGATGAGATGATGTAGGAACTTTACTCTTGTTTATATCAATTAGCCTATGGTAAGCTTACTTTTGTTATATATCATTCCACTTGAAGTCGCAGAACCTATTGATGGTGTTAACTGGGGACTTACTGTGCATATAAGAAGTTCTCAATAAGTGTTGACTTGAATTCTTCACCCTTTTCTTTCAAGAGACTTGGGCCCAAGTAAAGTGTTTATTTTCTTCATTGTTTCATTCACTCAACAAATGTTTATCAAGCACCTCCAATTTACTTGGCACTCTATTAGGTATTAGGAATTTAAAGGCAGATAAGACTCAGTCCCATTCCTCTAATGGCTCACAGCCTAGTGTGGAGACAGCAGGTTTCATAAGTGGTATAATAGAGGTAGAAGTTGCATGTGGTAACTGGGAGGACAGAGAAGGAGCCAGGGTTTGTGGGAACCAGTCTCCAGACTGGGTCCTCAGGGGCTGGCCTGGTGCTGGGGTGGGTTGAAATCCTTTGAAAACATTTTTTCTTTATTGATTTTAGAGAGAGAGGAAAGAAGAAGGAAAGAGAGATAGAAACATTGATGAGAGAGAACATCAACTGGTCCTCCCACTGGGGATCGGGCCCACAGCCTGGGCATGTGCCCTGACCAGTAATCAAACCATCAACCTCTTGGTGCATGGGTCGACACTCAACCACTGAGCCACACCGGCCGGGCCTAATTGAAGTTTTGGTAATTTTTAGTCATATTTTATCAAATAAGCTCTCTGCCCCTGCCTCTCCCTTTCTCCTTCTGGGACTTCTATAATGCATATTTTAGTCTTTTTATCTTTTTGCTCCTCTAACTTGATCATTTCAAATGACTTTCACAAGTTGTCTGTGTTCTCTTAGAGCTCATTGAGCTTCATTAAGATTATTACTTTGAATGTACCTCTGTTTCTTTATAGTTGGTTTCTGGAGATCAATATATATTTTTAATTGGGTCAGATTTCCATGTTTCTTCATATGCCTTGTTATTTTTTGCTGAAATTTGAGTATTTGAAAAAATAGCTACTTCTTCCAGACTTTTCAGACTGACTTTGACCCTCATCAATCAGCCTGGCTGGAGGTTCTGAAGACCTCTCAGAGGTGAGTCTTCTCTGAGTTTGTCCATGGAATTTCCCAGAGAGGTTGTCAGTTTCTTTTTCCAAAGCTCATAATCTCTTGCTCCCTCTGGTGTTTATCTTTGTTGCTGCGGGTTCTGTGGTGACGCCAAGCTCTTCATTATTCTCAGTGGCCCCCAGGCATCCAAAGTACGAAGGCTCTCAGTCAGAGCTGCTAGTCCGGTGAAACAGAAACCAGTTTCTTGAGCAGCCTTCCTCCATCCCCACCCCC